GACAATAATACTTCTTGTAATAATAAACAGCGAAGAGAGACAAACACAGGTACATAGGTGAATTCTTATTTGTTTAAAACCATTGCCATGACAATTTTTAACTCTATTGTGAGACTTCGTTGCTGTGATTTATATCATAAAAGCAATTTGTGTTTCGTTTCATGAATTATTTTGTTCCGCGCGCGCACTCTATTCAATTCGGCATCTCCATTATTACGCACAGTCATAGCGCTTGCCTCCATGCTGTTTGAAAGACTATTCTCTGTAAAGTCTGATAACTAAATTGGCATCGTCAAAAAAAGAAAAAAAAAAGAATTTTTTAAAAATTAAAAAAGAAATATTCTTTTTTCGAAAACTTTTAGCACATATAATACTATTTTATAATTTTCCCTTTTTCCGAGACTTTATTCATATTTTTTTAAATTTATAGATTATAGATAGGTAGAATCGAATATTATGACATCACATACTTTTATAAAGTAACAATGCCTTTTATATTTCATATAACACGATATTTTTAAGATTGAAAAGCTGGCAATATCTGAGATGAAAAAGAATATAGAGCAATAAAATGTAGGACTATCTATCTATCTATCAAAATGTATGATAAAAAAATGTTTATAGAATATTATGTACTAAGAAACGTGAGATAATCTAAAAGTAACTTTTAGGAAGAGATTAAGAGAATAAATTCTCTATTTCTAAATTCTTTTGAATATAGAAACTATTAAAAATAATAAATTCTCTTGAATAGGGAAACTAATTATATACAGACTAAATAGAAACAATTTTAAACATAATACTCAAATACACACATTATGTTTGTCTTCTCAATTTTTTATCGTATACCTTCAAGATAAAATCGTTATTTAGCATAATGATAGTTTTTTAATGAAACGATTGGAAGAAAATCCGGAAAAAGCAACAAATTAGCAGCAAAGAAGCACCCTAAAATCCCATGTATGCGTTTCATTAAATTGTGGTCAGCCTAATGGATGTGCTATATCCGTAATGCGGATAAAGAAGAAATTTAATTAATCGGAGTGCGAAAAAATGGAGGGAGTTTCGAGCTCGGTGTTGATGCAACCGACCTCAATATATATATTTAGATAATATGATTCTCGCGAGATTCTAGAGAGAAGAGAGAGATGAACAAGAGGACAAAACCGTTCTTCCGACGAGATGCAACGAGAGGGAACGCTTGTACGGCGCAGGCGCAGCGTACGCGCAAATAGCGACAGCGCGGCCTCACGTGTCACGGAGATCTCTACAGTTCACTTGCACACGAAGACTCGCACGAGGATCTTAGATGTCGGCATCCGTTTGATCCACATACGCATCTCGTCATATGCTTTCCTTACTTTTTTTATTTTCTTTGATTCTGCGAATATTGACGAGTTACATTTTTTTATATATTTTTAATTAGAATTTTACTGTTCCTTACCGATGTAATTCCTTTAACGTATGTAATTTATAGAGAAAAGATTGCTCGCGTATTCTTTAAATAAACATTTTGAAACGAGACGTTATATTATGTTTACATATAAATTGTAGAATTTATCTTGATTTACGAAATATCTTAATTTAATTTTCTTGCTCTTTCTCTGTGTAAGATTAACAGTAAAGATAAAGAGAAGACAGATTTAAAAATTTACAAGCTAGTGGAATCGTTCTATCACGAGAAAAATACACCATTAATAGATACCATAGATGTATAATTTGATTGTATAATTTGATCTTTATAGACCTATTTATTAATCGAAGCTAAAAAGAAGTTTTTGATAAATTTCATCAACATGAGCGATGTAACAAAGAAGAGGAAAATAAATTTTTTTTATAGAAATCTATAAAAATTTGATATGAATTGATTTAACACATAAACGAGCACCGAATTCAGAAATTATAGGCTTTTAAAATAAAAAAGCCTATAATTTCTGAATTCGGTTTTTTCATAAATCAAGTTCATATCAATTTTAATAATCAATATTTAATTATGAAATATAAAGATATATATCGTTTTAATTCTATATTAATTTAATTAATACTTGATTCTTTTGATACTTTTTTCTATCAATTTTGAATAAAGCAATATTTTTTTATACATGACAATAGACTCAACATATCGGCAGAAAACAAAAATTTATATTTTCAGCTTTAATATATGTGCACTAAACACTCAAAGATCAAAGGAATCATTTTCTATATTAAGTAAATGTAGCCTCCTTCTCGAGTTCTTATCAGCAAACAGCTATCTCTCGGAAATAACATTATCTTTAAGGTTTCAGTGTCCTTCATGCAGTCGTGTTTAATTAGCAGGTCAAAGACTTGAAATCGTATAAAATTGTTTCTTGCAAGATATTAAATAATTTGTTCACGTGTCATCTCTCGTGATAGACTAATATAAAATATATTTTCTATTATTTTCGTTAGTAATAATAAATATACGCATAAATCAATCCATATTCGTCTACATTTGTAGCAACATTTATAGCATTTCTACTTTATTTTAATAAAGAGAGAGAGAGAGAGAGAGAGAGAGAGAGAGAGAAATTTAGATCTATAAATTATTAATCAAAGTCAATAGAAAGTTATATATCGAAAATGAGTGATGTGACATATGAAAATAAATAATTACTATAACATTTCGAAACCGATTCCCTCGCTTTTGACTTTATAATTCAATTTTATAATTCAATGTGCTTACAGTAAAAGATCAAGAGCTACGTAAAATTCGAATTATCTCGTAAATTAATAAGCTCCTAAGATATTTTTACTTTACGTATCTATGTTGTATCTATTCAATTTTAACATATTCTTCGTAGTATGATGCTACTCTTTTCTTCTCATCGAAATATATGCAATATTTTTTATAATTCGCAATTCTTAATTTTGAGATGTAGCTTTTAAAATAAATATGTAGTTTTATTGTATGAATGATGTATTATAACTTTATTATTATATCCTTCGTTATTAGCTTTGTTATAATAGTTCGTAATAGCTTCTAATTCTCTATATTGTTATAGATGTTTTAACGGAGTGATATTTGATTTTTTACGGAGTTTATTTGTTAATGTTTCAATGTATTTTATTGTAATTAATTTGATGATTATCGTATTATACATATATACATACACACACATACGTATATTATGTGTGTACGTATCTTATGTATGTGTCAATACAAATTCTCGACACACATGTATTACATTCGAAACGATTCTTCGATTTAAAAAGACAATGTTTGAAATCATCATTGTATTCTCGCACGCGATGCACACGTAACATCTTTGTCCTGAACTTGTAGGTAGACTAGTACATTGACACTATACAGGAAACGACGATTGGAAGAAAAATGATCGCACATTGCAGAGCTGGTCAGAGATTTCCCGCTACATCTATCAAGAACGAGAAAGGGACGAGGGGGTGTTTGGCGGAAAGAGGGGAGGAAAGAGAGATTACGGTGGGAAGAAAAAGGGAGAAGGAAGCGAACGAGCGTAAAGAAAGAGGCAAGAGAAGAGAGGTCGAGAAGCAAGAGAAGGGAACGAGCTTCTTTTCAAAGAAAAAAAATAGCGGAACGAAAGAGAGGGACAGAGAGAGCGACGCGATAGAAAGAAAGGGGATGAACAGGGAAAGGGCGCTCGACGCTTCGAAGGGAAAAACGTAGAACAAAATGGGGAGAGAAGGGCGGCCAGAGTCGCGAGATAAAGCATGATTGAGGGGCCACAGGCGGGGGGAGGTGAGTGGAGGGAAGCGTCCCGCGAAGAGCAAAAGGGAGAGGAACACGATACGGGGATAGAGGGGGATCGTACGCGGAAGAAGGTAGAAAGAAAGGAGGAAATATACAAGGGCTACCTCCTCGCTCTCTCTCTTTCTCTCTCTCTCTCTACCCCCTGTAATGGTGAAGAGGGAGAGAGAGAACCGATGGGTGGGGGCTGCGACAGTGGGATAACGAGACGGGCGAGGAGCGCGGGAACAGGCACGACGGGGGGGAAACTGGTAACCCCAGCTGGTAACGACACGCGGGAAGGGGACACAGTGCCGCTGTGAGAGGGGCAATTCAATGTTGCTGTGCTAGTGTGAGGTACGTATGTATTATCCAGTGGAGAAGAGAAGGTACAAGTGAGGAGGTACAATCAGGAGCGGTGGGAGAAAAATAAAGAGGGTGAGAAAGACAGGGAGAGAGAGAGAGAGAAAGAAACGAATGAGTACACGCACAACGATGAGGCAAGCTAAACGAAACCAGCAGAGTTAGTTGCATTGGATCTGAAGGACAGAAGGGAGAGAAAGAAAAAGAGAGAGAAAGAGAAGGACGAGCAATGTCGGAGAGAAGGAGGAGGAGGAGGAGGAGGAAGAGGAGGAAGGGAACCGAGTCGCTGCGAGAGAGCGAGCGGAACGGATAGGGGAAGAGCGGATCAGAAGGGACCGAAAAGACGGGAGGGGGGAGAGCCCGCAGGGGAAAGGGCACATCCCGTTCTACGTCTCTCGTTTAGTTCGGCATGAGACGTCGTCGGTGGAATGTATCGTTGCGCGCGCTTTCCCGTTCGCCCGTATCCCGCGTCGAGAGGACCGTGTGCGCGTTGGCCGTCGTGTTGCCTTTAGTTCGCGAGCGCGCCGCGCCGCGCTCACCGGCGCTGCTCACCGGCACCCATAATTTCGTGACCGCCCTGCCTGCCGCCGCTGCAGTTTCTCGCTGCCGTTTTCGAGAGCCCTCCTCGATCTCGTCTCGGGATTGTCTCGCCGTCTTCACGACGGTGCCGTGCGAATCGCGTGGACATGGCAGATTACTCCGATCGCGCTAGATCGGGACGGGAATGACGCGCGATCGGGCCGTAGTACCACGCGACATCGCAGTAGTAGTAGTAGTAGTAATCGTAGTAGTAGTAGTAATAATAGTAGACTGGCTACTCCGCACACAAAGAGAGAATCCCGGAGGAGGGTGGGAGATAGAGAAGGACAGAGACAACGTGGTGGCGAATCTCGAGACGTTGTCGTTGTAGATCGTCGTCCGTGGGCGCCTCGCGCATACGTGGTGTCCCGTCGTGTCTCGTGTCGCGCGAAAGACGCGTCTCTCGCCGCCGTGTGGTCTACGCGCGCGCGCGCGCGCGTAGACTCGCTCGTGCTCTAGAATCGTCAACCGGGAGTAACGTAGCGTCACTCGTCCCCGCTGCTCCGGATCGCATGCCTGCACGTAAGTATATATATATAGAAAGAATATATATACATATATAATATAATACACTCGAGTACATAACACATAGGTGCACGCATACGTACGCGAAATAAATCCTACACATACACCTACACACGCCGGTGTATACACAGAGACGTTATGCGCCTGTGTGCCGTGAGATGGAGCGACGAGGTGGACGGTTCTCCTCGTCTGTTTCTCCGTTGTCCCCCGCGTATTCTCTCTCCCTATCCTCTCTCCCTCCTTCTTCTCCCACCGACCCCCCCTTTTCTCTCTCTCTTCCTCTCCCTCTCTCATATTACTCTCTTTTCAGCGTACATACTTGCATTTATGCGTTTTCTCGTTCCGTCCTCGGAATCGCATGGGATTCATTCGTCGGTAGGCAAACATGCTGGAATAGGCATCAGCCAGGGATGCGTATTAACAGTCCGAACGTCGATTACGACACTGAGTTATAATGCATTTTGGATGCATTTTGCGGCTTCGCGTAAACTGCATCGTAAAAAAACATCCCCTGAAAAATGATTGTTTTACTATTATTACTGTAACGATATAGATAAAGTAACGATTGTGTAATTGCAGAAACATATATAGATTATTCAATCATTGTTTAATTGAGTTATTTACTATCGTGATAGTTATAAACATTGATTACATTTTCTTTTCCGAATATTTTCAACTGCTTCAATTAAGATAAGTTTATAGTATCGGCTCTTTTTTTTCCAAAAAATATATTAAGATATTCGAAGAATTCGTTTTATTATCATAGACCTAACGTAAATAATAGTCGTGTATCTAATCTAAATTACGTTTAGGGTAGATTCTTTTTTTTTTAGATCAGAATGCGTTATTCAAATTGAAATAATGAATTGGATTTGTCATTTATAAAGAGGTTTTAAATCTTTCAAATTTACGCGATATGTCTCGGACATATAGATTACACAGATGTTTTTCTCATTAAAATATTCAAATTATTTTCCTTGCAATAAAACAATTTCGACATATGCTCGATATACAACTCTTTCTATTTCATCTATATCTTTATCTATATGCAAAATCTGTACAAAAAAATATTGTAATAAAGAGTTTAAGAGTTTGTGGATCTGTTAAAAAAATTTTCTCTTGGAATTCGGTATCGATTATTTTTTTTATGAAACCGCAAATTGAAATAATTGCAAAAAATAGATAAATTTTTTGCATAAGTTTAAAGAAATTTGATACATGTACGTATATCGTTACATAAAATATATACATTGTTTGTACATTGTAAAATAAAAAATTAATTAATATAAATATATTAATATAAATATATTAATATAAATTTTTTTCAAAGAAAGAAATATATATTAATGATACAAAATACTTTATAAAATTTAAAGTGTTTAAGTAAAAAATATTAGAGACACTTCTCTGACAATCGTGAATTTTTCTTCGGAAAACTTTAAATATATAATAAGTTACAAAATTGTTGGAAATTGTAAAAGCCCGTACAGATAATGAAATATGATTTTTAAAATTAATTTCAAATGAATTTTATATTTTAACAAATTCTTAATACGAAATTTTTCTGAATTTTACTGATGAAATTTAACAAGAATTTTCATGAGAGAATTTTGTGTTTCACAAGCTGGCATCATTCATGACATCACTATGCAAATACATTTTGTCATGCGTATGCAAAAAATTGGAAAATAAAAAAGAATTGAAAAAATATCGTTAAAAATTGGAATTTTGTCTATTTTGCAGAATAATTTGAATTTGAGCTGTGTTTGCATATCTGAATGTTGACGCTTGAACAGAAAAAATATGAATGTTTCTTTCACATGAGTTCTTTAATATGAAAGAAAAATATCAATTTTTTTAAATATAATCACAAAGGAAAAAAAATATCCGCAGTCGAAAAAAAAATTCCGTAAGAATTCTCACTATTGCGACAAATATCTTACTTAATTACGAAATCACTATTACACTTATTACTTTCAATATATCTATCTAATATGTTTCTCTTCAACGCTTTGATTTCTTCGCTTTCATAACGAGAGCGACGCTTGATCGATTCTTAAAATGTTGTATTCGATTTCTGATCTCCCGTTTATGTGATCGCGTATTGAAGGAGATTCTTATAAAAAGCCAATCGTCCTTTCCTTCCCACCCTTAATAACGGAAAAGCCAAGTTACTCCCCCGATGTCCGCCTTCTCTGTGTCTCTCCTTTGGTCGCTAAGTGACTGCGAACGACAGTCTGGCAGGGTCGCCCTTTGCTTTTCGCAAATGTAAGTGTCGTCTAATGTCGTGACGATATTTCACGAGCAGCCTGCGATCGTTTTTTTTTTCTATTATGAGAATTGAAATTGAAAATTACTTATTACGTACATTGCCCGTTTGACACAGCGTTATCAAAATTATTATTTATGTACTAATTAATTTAAGTACAACTCTTTCATGTGTGTGAATCTCATTTTTTTCCTTTATTATAAATTTATTAGAATATAATATTATTATACAATAATTATTAACACACGATAAATATGAAAATTGAAATGTTATCTTACCCCTCTTCTCTCTTTCTTTTATCATTCGAAATTGTCAAGTTGTCATAACATATAAAATAATCGATGTTTTAAGACAAATATATTTCTTGGAGAATAAAATTCATATTAATCTAAAATATTTACATAATTATACATACATTCAATAACAAAAAAAGCGTACGAGAAGTATCAGAGATACATATAATTCTTTCATAAAAATAATATATATGTGATTTTTCATAAAATAATCGAGAAAGAAATAAATTCTAATCTACTATCTTGCGTGACACAAAATTCCAATACGTGTATGAGGGATCTCGCAGGAAATAAAGAGGAAGCTGCGACAGATGCCCGCATTATTCAATATTCCGAAAGGAATTCCACTACAAAAGCCGTCTTGAGCATTCATTATGCAACTCTTTACGCGACACGCTGACAGGAGCGCAGCAATGACGCGTGAGAACGACTACTCGTGTTAATTTCTGAAACACGTGTTGATATGTCAGTTACGTTAACGATGACTCGATCAGATTAGATTAGATCTTTAATCCGCAAATTTTGCTTTTCTACTTTGACAGTGTTTATAAACAGGGTGTCTATTTAAATCTTGTTAAAAAATCTTCCCTAAAGATTGTGATCTTCGAAGTATTCTTATTTAAATTTTAGATGAATATTTTAAAGATTTTTTGCAACTTTGTAAAATAACTTTTTTTATTGTATGCATTTTTAATAGTCTTCATACGAAAGAAAAACATAAGCATTTAAGTTTTAATATATATATTTATAATATATTTTAGACATGCAATTCACAACTTGGCTTGTCGACTATTAACGATTGTTTACAATATAAAAGCAAAAAAATGATCAAAGAGAGAATTTAAAAAGAAACTTCTCATATTCCAATAAAATTCTCTAACTTTTCCAGTTGAAAAAATTCATGAAAATTTCAAGTATTCAGGTGTTTTTTTTAGGGAGTAAACATCCTAGTAAAAAGTTAATATTAATAAATTATGATATCATTGTATCTTTTATTACAATTCGCGAATTAATTAATGTATATAAGATATCAAAAAATATATCTATTACTATATTTTCATTTATATGATTGATATCTCTAGATATTATTTTTGTAGATAGTTTTGTAAATCTTTAGTTTTAAAAGAGATTGGCGTTTCTTTTGCCGCACGTCACGCTAAGAATTTCGCTTCTTCGTTTCTCGAAGCAGTACGATATAAATAGACATAGCACGTTAGACAGCGCAGAACGTAGTACCTAAGGCACACGGTTCGCAGATTAAATAATTTGAGTAAATAACGATGAGATAAAACGCTGTATAAAGATAATGATGGAGTGAATTATTCCGTTTCCCGCTATTTTTTTTATTCGCGTGCCTTTACTTTATAAACTGCACACGTACACATATGTCGACCACGCCCGCGCGCGCACGTAGATAGTCTATTATCTGTGATTTATTTCTAGTTTGATAAGGGAAACGTGGTGTGGCGATTGTCGGTCGCGGTTACCGCTGATTGAATTCGAAAGATTATTTTTTGCCTTTTTCCGCATGTATGAAAAAATATATGTTTTTCCATAGCAATATCTTTTAATTGAAATCGATAATAGAATTGGATCATCATGAAAAATCAATTAACGAAATTATTTATATTTATCGGATAGCTCATGTATTTTTGAGAAAGTCTTAAATAAGAAATGTCTTAAATTATAAATAAGTTGCAGATATGTAAAAATTGCGAATTTTATATGTAAAGAAGTGTGTGTGTGTTTTAGGTTGTTGCATTAGAGATCAAAGAGATATTTATCTTGAATCTACTTGTAAATATGAAAACCGCGTAATATTAGCACGAAATTATTTAATGTTTAAATTAAAAGAATTTTTGACAGATAAAATTTCAATAAACAATATTCTTAACTAAATTTTTCTATTATTCTCCTAGTATTAGATTCTTAATATGTGAGATATCAATTATATAAATCAGCATTCTTTTAAATTAAACTTTCTTGAAAATATTGCATCGTTAAAGATAAAAATCTTACAATACGATTATGGGCTATGCATCTATAGCATTCGCGACACGTGTTGCGCGGCAACAGAGTTAAGTAAATAACCGAGAGAGAAAATATTGAATCAGATTTATAGGAAGAAGAGAAGAGAGGAATTTGTTAATAGGTAAAAATGGCATCATAAGAATTATATGTAAACATTTAAACAATTTTTCAGTTATGTAACTATTTTTGTAATTATTATTGTTTATCAATCGATATTTTGATGTTATTATTTGCAACAGAAATTCTATGAATCAATTATTATACATTCTTTTTCCAAAGCTCAAAATTTCCTTATTAATTTTTACATTATCTCAGATTATTTACATTAAAATTAAAAATTCATCATTTGTTGAAATAATCAAGAATATATTATGCTTCAAATATAATCATGTGAGAGATGAAGGGATAAAATTTATCTTATATTTTAATTTTTCACTTATATGTTGTATTTTTAAATAGAAGATACATCTGTAAGAACCATTGTATTTTTTTATTTTTTTTATTTTCAGCCTGTACGATGTTTCTTTTTAGAAACGTTCAATTCAGTTCTCTTTCAGGAAGAAAACAGAAAAGCATTTGTTTTTGTTTCGATTCTGCACGGAGAACTTCTTTTTAGATTAATTGAGAACAAAAAATGGGATTCACACTAGGTAGCGTGCTGCGACAAAAAGACGCGTCACGATGTAAATGGCGGAATCTATGTGTTCCTGCCGACAACACGTGTTACGTTTATGGCGACGCACAGCATGCCGTTTGACAAGCCCGAGTGTGCATTTCTCAAATTGTGCACGCGCGCGCAAAAAAAAAGGAAAATTACGCAAAAATCGCAATTCTTCGCGTAGCGCAATGTAAATAACTAGGTGAGTCGACTTATCTCGTCGGGCCGTAAAATACCGCGATATTCGATCAATACCGCCAGGTATATTCGAGCGTACACACACGCAAATATACACCACGTTGCAAGGGACGTTTGGCGGTTTAACCGCACCGCCGGGCGAGCGGAAAAACGGAAAGGACGATTCTAAACAGAGACGGGAAATGTATCCGTATACCTTCCTACCTATGGAAAGGACGATTCTAAACAGAGACGGGAAATGTACCCGTATACCTTCCTACCTACGGGCTTTTGAGCCCGGCTGGAGGGGATGACAACGGGCATAACGGGAGCTACCTGAGAAACCCTCGAAAAAATTCAACTAAATGTACATAATGACATATCGCTGGCATTTCTGTATCAGAGTGAAATATGAATTAGTTGTTACTAAAGTACTGCAATTGTATTGTATAGGAGAATGCCAAGAAAAAATATTACATTTCGATAGTATAAATGAGAAATAAAGTAATCAGATATCTTTTGGACTTTTTTATTTAAAATAATAATTTTCAATATTACTTTATTAGTAATCATAAATCTCAAAAAACTAACTAAAACTTTATGTAGTTTCGTGTTTATTTAATGCTTTTTTGAAAAATAAATTTTTGAATTTTGCAATCATGTACAATACTTTATCGACACTGATTGGTATCTTCCTTTAATACACACGATATTTGTAAAGCATGTGACCCAATAATTCTATAACGAATTTGAAGAGTCGAAATGAAAAAAAAGGAAAAAAAATGAAAAAAAAAATTGTTACATATGTCCAAAAATATTTTACTCTAATATATAAACAATTATAATATTCAAATTTTTTTCCAATTATTTAAAACTACATAGATTATAAGATATTCTCGATTATATGTTTTTAAAAACTGCTTTTTATATTTTGAAACTCATAGTCTTGTTATTTCATTAATGAAATGCTGGAATCTTTCATTTATAAATATATAATTTTTATGATATTTTAATGAGATATTCGATACTTTAATATGCATATTTTATATTTAATTCATCTAAGTTATGTACATAGTATCATTGCATTATTGCGGAGATTTTGAGAATTATAAGTACTTACGGTTAAAAATATTTCTGACGATGCTCTTCAATTTCTCATGGAATTAATACTCAAGTTGATGGTAATAATCGATTGAATCCTGAAGTCTATAGTTGACAAATTGAAAATAACTGTATTTCTCTTTATAGACTTAGCGTTTTGCAATTTCCGAAGAAATGGCTGGTATCGGCAAAAGGATGCTCTTACGTGATATTAACCAACATTTGGTCTGTCTACTGTGTCGAGGCTACCTCATAGATGCCACAACCATAGTGGAGTGTTTGCATTCCTGTAAGTAAAAGTTGAGATTTATATAGTTCAGATTTTATCGGTTATCAACATACACGATAAACTAATAAGTATATTTGCCATTCAGTTTGCAGAAGTTGCATTTTGAAAGCACTCAGCACTTCGGCACAATGCCCATCGTGCAAACATGCGCTCAACAAAGCGAAGCCAAATATCAAGTATGTAATCATATGCTTTTATTGTTTTGCATTGTTTGAATAATTTATGCAGCAATTTACATCGTCCATTTCCACTTTTACAGTAGTAATAAACTGTTGTTTGTAAAAATAAAATTTTAATTTTTGTTGAAAGATAAAAAACGATAAAAATTTGATTATAAAATAATAGTAAATATGCAATATCAAAAAACATAATTTTTTTTATATTTCAAATAACGAAATATTGATTTCAAAGTGGTCAAAGTGAGTGGATTTCCGTGCGATGCACTTTATATAATAAAAAAATAATATACATCTTTTTTATATTCTAAAAATTATTACTTTTGATTACGATTGAAATCTCTTTGCAGAGCCGATAAAGCGCTACAGGAGATCGTGTATAAATTGGTGCCCGGATTATACCATAGAGAAATGCTAAGGAGGAGAGAATTTTATAAAAAGCATCCCGAACATGGTAAGTAATCGTTTTAAAATCATCTAAATTCTCGAATCTTTGCGCTAGCATTCCCATTTCAAATTCCTGGTCTCTTACCACAGTTATATTGAATTATAATGTTAGAAATAGGAAATTATGTAAATCTTTTTTATGGTAACACATAGTAAAACTGATTTCTATATATAACGAGAAAAGAATTCACAAAATTTTATATTTCTGATGTTATACTTCATGTTCAACATGGTTTGGACCAGGAAGAATCTTAATATAAATTATATATATCTATTATATCTCAATTTTCAAACAATTAGCGAATCTAACAACGCCGGAGCAACGCGGTGAAGATGTAAGTGGACGATTAATATTCAATCCGGAGGATGTGGTGAGCTTGAGCTTGGAATACCTGCCGCCAGAAGCAGATCCGTTGGATATATTGAGTATCAATGACGCGGATACGAACAGCTCGAATAGCGTCCACAGCGGTGGCAATACCAATAACAGTAATCACAATGGCAATACCGGCAACAGCAGGAGATACTTGCAGTGTCCAGCTCTCGTGACTATTGCGCATTTGAAAAAGTTCATATCAATGAAATACAGCGTTGACGTAACAAGATACACCATCGAAATTTGTCATCGACGCGCAACCCTTCCCGAAAATTGGACCCTCATGGACGTCGCTTATATTTACGCGTGGAAAAGGGTAAGTATTACTTTATTCCATTTATCCATTTCCCTTCGCATAATTATTAGATGACATGTAAGTCGTGACAATCTGTAAGTACATGACGTTCTTGTTTATATATTATATATTAGATGTTTATTTTTAATATATAAGAAGACTTCATTTAAATTACCTTTCTTGCAGATTGCACCGATGAGATTTTTCTACCTGGTGGCGCATGAACAAAGACTCGAAGCACCGCTGCATCAAAGACCATCGACTCCGGGATTGGGAGCTCGGGACTGTTTGCCACCGATCGACGTTCGGAATAACAGTGATATAAGCACTAATCTTGTTAATCAGATTCCGGAAACCTCTAAATCAGAAGTTAAATCAGAAGTTAAATCAGAAGTTAAATCAGAAGTTTTATCTGCGAGCGATAGCGATAGGACAACGTCTTTAACGAAAAGTTTGGATAAGATTGCAAACAGCAAGATAAATACGCCCGTGGATCGTAAGCCAACAGTGACAAGCGAGAAAGACGAAGCAAACAAAACGACGACAACATCCGCAACGTCGACATTAACAGCGACGAGCGTGACGACGACAATATTGACCACGGTAGCGACAAACGTGTCTTCGCCGACGACGACAACGACGACAACGACGATGTGCAATGATTCAAGCAAGCAGATAAAGAGTCCGATTAAGATAATGAAGAATCCGGACGGAAAATATGAAGTGTTAAAGAATCCCCCTGCTCCTTCTACAGATATTAAGAGTCCAACAAGTCCTGAATTTAGTGTCGTGAATTCCAATGGTGTCAAGATAACGCTGAAGCAATGTTCACCGCCACAAAATAGCAATGCGAAGAAACCGAAAGTCATCAGCGACGTTCTATTGCGTTGCGGTCAAGTGGAGAAAGACGCACCGTTGATTCAGCGACTGCAACAGGCACAAGATAAAGATAAATTTACTATCCAGACTAATCCAGTATTGCCGGATAAGTTGGAAAAGCAACGGCGTAAAGTGACCTTCTCAGTAGATCGATCTCCAACATCCGAGAAGACCTCTCCCACTAACGCCAGCGGTACCGTGCCAAAAACAGCGTTGAAGAAACCAGCGGAGCAACAGGATAAAAAGCAATTCCTACAGGGTTTTCAGTTGACCGCTCGAGAACCATCGGTACCAAATGATAGCAAGTTGATGCCTACTATTCGAGACATCGGTGTCGCAGTGAGCGCCTTCAAATCTCTTCCAAAAGCTAACGCAAAAGTGGAGGAATCCTTTAAGAAAGACACTGATGAAATTAAGAAAAAGAGCAATACTGAGAACGCTGGCTCGAATGCGAACAGCAACACCATCGCGATCGCGAAACGGAATCTCCTCGGAATGACTGCTAATTCGCGTACAAATAAAACCAATGACCCAAACGGACGTGCATTCAATTCGGGAGTCAGTTCAAACAACACGAACATCGCGAGCAGCAAGATGGATGTGTATACCTTTTCTAGCGATCCGCCGATTGTCCCAGCCGGAGCGGTAAAGAGGAAATGCCCGCCGGGTGTACCAATTGCAGATTTGAAGCGTCGAAAATCGCCGCAGATCGCGCAGAAACAGGAAGCTAAGAGGCAAAACGCTTCTTCGTATAATTCTGTTAAGCTATCGCGCACTTCTTCCGCGGAACATGTGGTACCTACGAGTAAAGCGACCAATCTAGTAGGAGATTACAGTGGCAATTCAAGTCGCATGCCCAACGCAAAAGCGTCGACCAGCCCGCTGCTGCCGAATGACACTAGGGATTTTCTAGTAGATGGCTACGGATTGAATATTCCGGCGAGTTTGAGCATAACGCTAACGTCCCCCAAGTCTTCCGGGACTTCCGGGCAAGTCGAGTTCAAAGATCCCAACGATAATAATCGCGGAAAGGTCGCACTGGGTAAAGTGAATCCTAGTATCACGTTGAACGATCGGTCGGTCGACCCGCGTGTGTTGAAGGCTTTGAAGACGGGACAGATCAGAATGCCAGCCACTCCAACGAAGGGCAAACCAGCGGCAACAACGGTAGCGACAACGAAACAGACACCAATGACAGCGGATCGTAGCGAGATAACAACGAGCCAGCAACGAACGACAATGTTTGCTGGCAAACGGAAGAGGGAACACGAATTATCCAAGGACATTCTGGATTTGAGCGGAGGTAAAAAGAGTATGGATTTACATCCTTTGAGAATCCCTCAACCGGTGACGAAACTTAATCAAAACAAGACCAATAAGATTACGAGCAGGGATAATATGCAACCGGGTAGCGTCTCCGATCAGGGTCAACTGGTGACACTGGGCAATCATCTGTATTATCGAGCACCTCCAGGTTCTTTGACACCCGCAGCTCACCGTGTTAATGATTTTCCATTACCACCATCGCCATCGCGTACCCCTGTTTACGCACCGTGCCTCGGCTCCCTCAATCGATCGAGCTCGGACCTTTCATCCGTCTTTCCGACTCTGTCGAGTTTTTACGCTCTGAATCAGGCACCGAATCTTCAGCAGTTTCAGATGGATACGGCGCGACTGAAATTACCACCGCGTCCCGTTGCAGAAAGCGGCGCGACTTCTGCGACGTCTGGAAGTGGCGACAATCCAGCCAATTCCAATATTAGTGGCGTGCCAGGGAAGAGTCATTTAGCCGCTCAGTGCGCGCCGGTTAAGCCCGCAAGATCTTCCGTGGCATCCTTGGCTGTTCCCATCAATAAACAACAACACTCTGCGGACAAATCTGCAAACGTTAATACCAATCGGACGATCTTGGGCGACTCCTCGAGCAAACCTTCGGCTTTTCGTAACAACGAAGATCACGGCTCGTTGGACGACACTCTTCGTTTGAACATTCAAAAAAGATTTGCCTTGGATGTCGAGAGTACAAATAACAGGTTTCTGTCGCGGAACGAGGATGCAAAGAGCACCAGCCAAGCCACGAACGATACTGCTAGAGATACAAATGCCGAGTCCAAGAAAGAAGCGACCAATCCTAACAATTCGCAACAACAGCAGCGGCAACAGCAACAGAATCGCGAGGCAGCGAGTCCTAATATCGTGTCGTCGACGGCTTCGCCGTCGCCACCTCCCGGCAATGGTGGGGCGAGAAGTGAGGGTAGCACTAGTCAGGGTGACAATAATATTAACAGCTCAAACGGGGATAATAACGGGACGTCGTCGAGTCCGACGAAGAGCATCGTTTCCGAAGCGACCTGCAACAAATCGCCAGACAGCCCGGACTCCAGTTCGATCACGGTAGAGTCCAGTTCAGGCACGAGTTCAAGCAAGACGACGGATCGGGAAGTGTCGACGGATGCGACGAAGACCTCGGACGCGAATCCAACCGCGGTCGGTGATTCGACCGCACCTGACGACAAGAACAAGTTTCCCGTCAAATCGGAAGCGAGTGAGATCGCGAAGCAATTGACTTCCGTGCAGAAAACGTTGCTGGCAGTTTTTCCCTCGAACGAATGGGCGAACAATCCCATTGCCGCCGAGCACCTGGGAAACTTCCTGAAGAGCCTCAACGCCACGATAAAAAATGAAGGGAGCACTGACGAATCTAAGACGGAGAAAACCGATCGGAAGACCGAGGGTAGCGAGACTCGGTAATAATATTTCCGACGAGGATGAAAAAATGAGCTTTTATTTTACGTTGTTGCGAGGAAGTGATACGCTATGGTGTTTTCGAGTCATCGGTGTGAATTTTATATAGGATTTTAAAAGACAGTTTTTAGTTTCTTTCATTTGGATGATTGTTATAGACTGGATGTTTCACTGAATCCATTATTATACGCGATAACGCGCGTATAAAACATGATGACAATGAGAAAAAATATAGGAAACAAGCAGACAAACGGATAAACTCTGAGACACTGCCATATGAATGGAAAAATGCGTGGAATCATTTTTTACAGGGATGCACACAATTATTATAATTCACGCGAAGTGGATGAGGAGAATCTCACAAAGAACGTTACGTATATTATAGAGTACACAGAATATACAGAATAGTATTATAAAGAGCAGTAGGTCGAGAATCTTATTTTTTCAAGTTTCTTAAAAAGAATCTTTCATATGCTCTGAAATGATCTATAGACTATATTATTGATCTTGTCAAATTAAAACTTGGAAACATTCCGGAAGAAAGAATCTCCACATCTTTCTCTGAGAATCTTCTTCGCAGAGATCAGAATGTAACTTTTGATCAGTGATACAGATTGACAACGACAGCTTGCTTCATGACTGAATTATGTCCCGTATAGTTTACAATCATTGCTTTCAATATTTGCTATTGGAATCGGATCATGTAACAAAATCACCTCTTTATATATTCAATTTATGAATAGCAAGTGTTATAGCTGCGTTGTAACAGTTATAATAAAGAAAAGTAACAAGAAGTTAAAAGTGGTCCAAGCAAAAATAAGTGGTAAACTGTATTCGTATATCATATATCCCATTGATTCCTTGATATAGATTCAATATCACGTTTTACACAATATAATTTTTCTAAAAGTTGCTAATGTATGATAAAGTGATTGCAAAATTAAGAAGATTGCAAAATTGAATCAATAGGATAATAAAATAATTATCTATATTTTAGTCTTACATTATCTTTTATTATATATGTATATTATTATGTAATTTGTTAATTAAATTCAGATATGAAAGTTACTAAATATATGATGCGAATACACAATACCACATGTATAGATCCAATATTGTAAATTAAAGATATCGCATACACGACATATTCTTGGAGAATAAAAAAAAAAACTTTCAATCCAATACTATTCTCTTATCTTGTGTTATGTTTTCTACATATTAGTACAGTTACATGCATAATGTCTATGTTGTACAATTATTGTTATGTTATGCTGCTATACACAATGTATTTGTATTATATTAATTGTATTTTATTTAACTTGTATATATTTATGATTATTATGTACATGATAATAAGCAGGACATAGCAATGTTCTCTTTTCGAAATTCCTGTTACTTGGTAAATCAAAAGTTAACAGAGTGCATTTTGTGTTTTATATATTAAGGATATTTGTATCATGATAAGAGGAAATCATTTCTACATTTGATGTACAGTCAAATGTCCGTATTGTAAAGTCATTTGAATTAAACAATATCTTTCGACAAGATTGTTTATCTTAAACATTTTTGTTAGTTCCTATTCTCATTCTAATGACATTCTTGTCAGGATGAAAATCCTTGTTGGATGCTTTGATTTTTATTTGCTCACTTATTCAAATATAGTAATATGGCAAATATAAAAAGCGGAGCAGAAAACAAATATTCATTTTACGGACATATGATTGTATAATAAATTATATATAATTTGTACAATTATATGTGTTATATCTTTATAATGAATTTCTCTTTTTAAGGTATTTTAAATATATATATATATATATATATATATATATATATATATATATATACATACATACATATATTTCTCCTTCGTAAAAAATAATATCTTTTTATAGATGATATGTAAATGTCATATGCATTATGTAAATTATTTATTTACAGTCTCAATTTTCTCATTTTTAAATTTTTTCTTACATTATTGCTTTATTATGTCACATTTGCCATTTGAATACATAATGTAAAATGAAAGTGACGTACTATATATATATAGTTAAAATATTTTTGTTTTACATTATATGCCATTGAAATAGAAAGTGAAAAAGCGAGAAAAATCAAAAGCGTTATATTTTCTCTGACGTATCACAAGAATTGTACATTTTTTAATTAAAATATTGGATCACTGACAAGTGGAAATACAATCTTTCAAAAATTATTTATTCCCATTCTTTATCGCATAGTTGAAGAAATTGGCTATAGAATTAAAAATATTTTTACTTACAAATTTTATGCGTGTTTCCCCAAAAAGCCAAAGATTGATTGACTCGATCAAGCTCATCTTTTACCAATCTATTCAAATTTCCGTAGCAGTGCAAAAAAACTTTTTCCTCTTCCGAAGTCGTTGAAACTGAAACACCACAATTATTCTTATCCATTCCCGCTGTTTCAGTAAATGCGCAAAATACAAATGTCATTGATCACGTGACATATATATATAATTATAATAGCTGCAAGAGATAATTTTCGATTTATTGAAGAGTAAACAATACAACTAAACATGGCAAGATATAAAAGAGAAATTCTATTAATTGAGATTCTGTTTAACGTAATTTATAAGAAAACAAACTAATCACAGCGCTTAACGTGAAGAATACGTTACCTTCCATATTGAAAGAGTGATTCATATGTCAAGTGAATTATTCAACTGTAAATGTAAATTACGAATTTGTTTAAATACGTTTTTACCGCGCAGGATGTGCAATCATAGATCGTAGAATACATTAGACTAATGGCGTTTTCGATTGGTCGGGTTTAATCGTTCCGGAGTAGTTCACTAGACGTCATTGACCAATCCCAGTCATTCTTTTAAAGAATATATGATTACATTCTTCAGACGAATAACTGTGATTGGTCAATGACGTCTAGTGAACGAAAAATTATTTAAGCACATTGATTGGCTGCGGGATAATAATTTTTTGAATCTTTGGAAATTTTCTCTCTATCCCGCAGCCAATCAATATGCTTAAAAAAATTTGTCGAACGACAAATGTAATATCGGCCTGAAGGTCGGGTCTACAATAGGCAATTTAAGCCTTAAGAGACTGACCAATCACAGTTAAGTATGAAGAGAATACTCAACTGTGATTGGTCAATTTCTTAAGGCTTAGGTCTTAAATTGTCTATGTAGACATTGTAGACCCGGCCTAAACCGTAATCACACTAGAGGTTGCGGGCTTGGTTGTGGTTGGAATTGACCAATCAGAGTAGCCGGCTGACAAATTGCTTTGTTCTGATTGGTCGATTTCAACCGCAACCGAACAATCTAGTTACTTTAGGCATCGATCAATGTCCAACTGTCCTCTTTCTGTAACGCGGCCAACACGTGCACTACAGCGTCTTTCCTCCATATCATTTGCAATCTGAAGTTGTTGTACTTGCGCCATTTTTTCTTCGTCGTGTGATGTAAAAGGAAGATGGAAGGTTATGTCGCGTCTTGCTGGGAATCTCGCGCGATAAATAGTTCACGGTAGTTTTCGTTTTTGACGTATTATTGAATTGCGCGTGAAATTAATTAGTAGCAATGAACGCGAAGGAAAATTCTACGGCGCCGACGAAGAACGCGAGCGCGCCGAACGCGAAGCCCTACGGCAAGATTGTATTGACGTTGCAGAATTGCCTTCTGCCCGAAGAGAAGCTTAACTCCACTCCGTCGCACCTGGACGGTCTCGATGCGGAAACCGAGACGGATTTGCGTATACTCGGATGCGAACTTATACAGACGGCTGGTATCCTGCTAAAGTTACCGCAGGTAGGTTTCCATATCTTCAAAATTCGGAATCCCTAATCTTTATTCCAATTTACATACCTGTACATTTCTCTAAACTTGGAGAAACTACCGCGCACTTTCACTCTTCTTTTAATCTGATCCTATCTTTATTCGATATTAATGTGTATAAATTCTGTGCATTATATAAAACTATTTGAATGATTTAATTTATTTAATTGATTTTTACCTTTTATTCATTTATTTCCATTAGATTAAGATGTATTTACGAATTATATTTTACAATGAAGTTTTAAAGCAAAATTCAGTTACTGGAGCAATATGCAAATAAAATATGTAAATTGAAGAAAATATTTGAATTTTGAAAAAAATGTATGCATTACATGTATTCGGTGTTATTTTTTTTTTATAGAATTTAAAAATCGAGACAATAAAGAGAGAAAAAGAAATTTTAAAATACATTGCTTTGATATTTATATTGATTTACTTTGAATTTTTTTAATATACATAAAAATACTACTTTAACCCTTTGCGGACAGAACTTATGTCTGTATATTGTTCATTTCATTCAATGCAAAACTGACAAATAGCTCAAAATGTATGTACTTTCCAGAGTCTCGGTGGCTAATGTAAACAAATGAGTGGCAACGTGTGCGCTGGATTGTCGACGTGTGTCGAACAGCACAATAGAAGTATATGGCCATGGGAATATCTCTGCTCGTGAAGGGTTATCATAGTTAATGTGTCAAAAGCTGCAAAATGCTGCAATCTAATCATTTTCTTTTTTTTTTTCATATGTTTAGGTTGCAATGGCTACGGGACAAGTAATATTTCAACGATTTTATTATAGCAAATCTTTAGTTAGGCATAATATGGAGACAACTGCAATGGGTTGTATATGTTTGGCTAGCAAAATCGAGGAAGCACCTAGGCGTATCAGGGATGTCATCAATGTTTTTAATCACGTAAAACAAGTTTCTAGCCAAAAGTAAGTTTACTTTTGTCTCACAAATATAAATAATTAAGATTACAAGATGTGCAATACATAGACAAGAAAATAACAATAATGAAAATAATCCATCTTTATGATTTGTTTTAGAGCGATACAACCTGTGATTCTCGATCAGAATTATGTAGCACTGAAGAATCAGGTAATTAAATCGGAGAGAAGAGTATTGAAGGAATTAGGTTTCTGTGTTCATGTAAAACATCCTCACAAGATCATAGTTATGTATTTACAAGTATTGGGATATGAGAAGAACCGTTCACTGATGCAACAGAGTTGGAATTACATGAACGACTCGTTACGCTCTGATGTTTTCTTGCGCTATCAGCCGGAGACTGTGGCATGCGCGTGTGTTTATCTCGCCGCTCGTCAACTGCAATTACCACTGCCCACATCACCCTCTTGGTTTTCGTTATTTAAAGTCAGCGAGTCATCAATCAGAGATGTGTGTCGGCGGATATTGCGCCTTTATTCGCGACCGCGTGTGAGACCCGAACAGCTAGAGAAGCGTGTCGAGGAGCTGCGACGTCAGTACGAAGAAGCTAGGACCAAGGCGCGTGGTGGAGATGTCGATGGGCACACACCGAGTCCACCGCTACCGAAACATCATAACGCTTGGGGTGGATTCATCAGCCGCAGCGGTACTCACGCCGCTCCCGAAAGAACGAAATCACCCAGGTATGATAATGCACGTAAAAAAAATAAAACCTAATGAATGTTCATTATAAAAATTCTGTCAAAAATATTGTCTAATTATTTTTAATTGAGAATACAGTACATGCTAAGATAACTGTTTGCAGTTTGTTTTTAATAGCGATATTTGCTAAATAATATTGCATTTCAAAGATGAGAAAAGAAGATATTGATCGATTGTGTCAATATATCTCAATATTGTCTTTCAGGCGTTCGAAATCCCCAAGTACTTCCCCATCACGAGGCGAAGGGACAAAACATTCCAACAAACGAAAAAGACACAGCAGAAGTAGATCCCGAAGTCACAGTCATAGTAGATCTAGCAAACCTAAAAAGACGCAGCGAAGACGATCAGGCAGCCATAAATCATCCCGAAGATCGCGAAGTTACAGATCACGAAGTAGATCTCGAGATAGGGATTTGGAGAAATCGAGCAAACATCGCAGTAAGCGCAGACGGCACTGAACGTGGATTGATAAATAGAAATTTTGTATTATTCTACAAAATATTTCAAGAATAAGGTGGTACACAATTGTAATGAACTTGTAATATAGAAAAACTTTGTATAGGCCTCAATTCTATTAGTTTATTTTAAAATTAACAAATGGATTCAGTTTCTAGATTATTTTATGAAGAATTTCATTACATCTGTTTTGATAACATTATATATTGCATTTTCATTAGCTAGCATTTTTATCATTTACAGATGCATCATTTGTATTTAAAACTATTACAAGAGAGGAATGTAATTTTTTTTAAATATTGAACATATGACTTTTTTAAAATACTGAAGTATTTTTTATGCTTTGTACAAATTCATAGAAATTTGTCAGGACAAAAAAAATAGATAAATCAAACACTTGTACACTTACACATTTGTAAATTTTTATATTGACTAATAGATTCATAAAAAATGTTATTTAATGAAAGTGAAAATGTCATAAATAGTATTTGTGCATGTAATATTTATGACTTTATTATTTCAAGTTATATAAGTATTTTTTATGTATATATGAAGGATATCATTACTTATAAGATTAAATTTAAATAATTGCATTATTCTCAAGAAAATATTAATTTATCATGCGAATAAATTTTGCAAAGCTGAGACACCTCAATCTCAATCAATGCTTGATATATTAAGATATAAAAATAGAAAGGTATGTATATAAAATACAATACGACGTAAAAAAAATAAAATTTTATATTCATATCCTAGGCTGTATCATCTTAAAGAATCCTGTAGGTAGTGCCTTTTTTTTCTCAGCAGCAATCACTGGTGAAAAGTCTAGAACAAGCAGTTGTGGGAGAAGATGTATGATGTAACCCCTGTAGCAGGGAACATCCTCAATTGGATTACCATGTAATGTCAACGATCTGAGATTTTGCAGTTTTCTCAATCTCAGAGTATCTGCAATATTTGAAATTTTGTTGCCATGCAAATAGAGTATCTTCAAATTTATAAACTTCTCAATATCTTCTCCAATTTCGTTTATCTCATTAAACGATAGATCCAACCAGCTGAGATATATTGGATCATTAAGAACTTTATCGACCAGACGTTGAAGGCCTTCCATTGAAGTCAATAGATTGTTACTTAGCCATAATGTACTGGTCATGTAACGATCCTTAAACGTTCTTACTGGTGCTTTTCCCGTACGTATTATTTGTGCACGTTTTTCCATCAATTCTGTAAGCATAATATATATTTTCAGTAAGTGATTGTATAATATAACAATTATTGTTGAATAGAATATTTAGAATTGACTTGTAACAAAAATTTGCCTTTAATGTGAAAAGAAATATTATACAAATGTTGATATATTACAATTTATATTGATAAAAAAAAAAATATGAAAAAATGACATTTCTCTTTTTATATATGTAAATACCTTCCATCGTGGTGGCCTTCCTAAATGATAAATCCAATGGTGGAGCGATCAGTATTTCTTGTCGTTCATTTCGCTTGTAATCTGACGTGTGATTCTCCGCGGAATGATTAACGTTCATTGCGAATAATCGGCTTGATCAGTAACCTTGTCAGATCTTGAAAAACATTCGAAGTTCTTGTTGTTTTTGATGGCATTTCAAGTTTATATTTCGCGGTTCATTGCCAGTTTGCCATAAACTACATAGTAATATGATAGTCTTTCCTCATATTGAACGTGAATTCCAGAAATTTTCTATTCGACAGCCAATCGATTATGTCCTGTAAGGATGCACGTGATCAAAAAATGAATTGATATTTTTATTTTATTTTTATTTATTTATATTATATTTTTATTTTTAGTTTGATGTCTTTTGACACTGGAAAATAAGCGTGTTAAATGAAAATCCACCTTAATCTATCTATATGAAATGGCCATATGGGTTTTAAATAGAAAGAGATTACACAGAAGATTGAAATTTGATCAATCAGAACGAATAAATTTTAGCTTTTTTTGTTCTGAATTTTGTTCAAATCCCAATCTTCAATTTTCAATGCCAAGGAAAAGTTTGGCAGTCTATATTTTTTAGGTTTATGTCTTCAATATGGCGTCTACTTCTCGTTCCTTATCACGTGATCAATTTTAAATTCTTCGCGTCCACATATTCGCATCCGTTGCAGGAGTGAGGAAGTTTGAAAGCTCTGATTGTTTTTGTCGAAGATGCCGCGAACGAAGTATGGACGAAGAAAAACTAAATCGACGAACGACTCTATGAAAGAATACGATATCTTGGCACAAACCTTCGATAGGCATGTGCAATTACGTATTGCTAAATTAGAACGCGATGCACAAGCGGAGACCAGGAGCTTCGAAACTTTCATGGACGTTATAATTTCTCGTCTACCGATGGTAATACGTCAGATGACATTGGGCGAGATACTCGGTTACACGAACGACAATGATAATCAACACGAGAATCATAATGACGAGGTGAGCTCATCGATCAAGGATTACATGCAGCCACCTGTATTTAACTCTAAATTTAAACCGAAGACGAATTATAAGACTGCCAAACGTACCACCACCACCACTGATGATGGATACGGGACTGAGAGAGGTACTAGTGTGGACAGCACATCGCGAGTTACTAAAACAGAACCTAAGAAGCTAGAAGTACCGACAACAATGAGGAGAACACGTAGTTCTACTAGAGCAAGTAGGACCCAACTCAGCGATATCACTCAGAAAATGACAACAACTAAATCCAAGAGTAAGAAGATGGATATGTTTAAGACACCAGCACCAATAAGGTCCTCGAGCAGCATATATGATGTAGTTACACCCAAAATCAAGCCGAATACACCATTGAATGTATTGAGACGTCCACGGCAAGGAGAAATGGTCCTCAGCATGCAAGGCAGTCCATTATTGGTCTCCGCTGTTGTTGACGAAAAAATTGCTAATATTAATGTACCTTTGGCTAATGGCAATGTGATGTCCTTGTTGCCTCAAGAGGGATTGCGTATGTCACATATTCCTCCATTGGATTCTGAAACAATGCAACAGTTGCAAACTCTTAAGAATCATATTGAGAAAGTTATTGCATTGAAGTAACAGTGTAAAATGTTAGTAAACAAGTTATTATTTAATGTAATAATTATATCATGAAATAGTTTCATACTCTTTGCTTAGCTATATGAAAAAAAATAATGTAAAATCTTTTCTCTTTTTCTCAATATTTTTAATAACTTTTATGTATTAAGAGCACTTTAAAAAATTATTATTTATTATTAATAATATCTTCTATATGTTTCTTGAATAAATAATAGAAATAATTCTTTTCAATGTTTTATTTCTTTTCAGGAAGGATTTATTTGAATTCTGAATTTTAAGACATCAGCGATTGAACAATACATATGACAATCATAGATCAATGTCAAAGATCAAGCTTGTTAAATATAGAAAAAAATTGATAGTTTTAACTTTTGTATAACAATGTGATATCTCCTTTGTTGCATCAAAAAGGATTTTATGTAATGTTGCATGTTCCTTCATGGAAAAATCGTTGGATTTTGAAATAATGCAGCAATTGGAAACTTAGAAGTCACATTGAGATTATTAAAGTAGTGATGTCAGAATTATTAATAAGTTAGTATATAGTGTAATATAAGTATTTTGTGAAACATTTTTATACTTTTTTATATTCACTTGTCCAAACGAAAAATAATATATCTCTATAAAGTGAATAATGAATCTCTTTCCTTTTTTTCATTTTCATGTTTCAATATCTTTAATAAACATCTTTTAAATGAAGAGTGCTCCAAAAAATTATCTAACATTGATAATATTTTTATGATGCAGATGCAGATGCAGATTTTTTCTACAATAGAAATAACTTTTTATTGAAGTACAAAAAATTTATTTGAAGTATATAATTAATAGAAAGAGATTCTTTACATGTTAAATATTTACTAACTATAATTTTTTAATTTCTTTGCATGTTAAATGTTTAGCAATTAATAAGTGTAAAATTGCGATGTTATGATTTTTATTGAGAGGAAATCAGAGGAAATCGAATTGACGTATAAACTGATTAAAATATACATCTATCATATGAATGTTTATACTATACTGTAAAATAGGCACACATTTATAATGAAAATTATATAATAATTTGTATATGTAAATTTATGTGTGTGTATGTATGCTGTGATTTAATTAATTCTTTCACTAAATAATTCTTTATCTGCTGATCATTCTGTGAGTATCATGTACAGGAATGAAAAAAAAAGATATCGCATTATTTTTATTATTAATATATAATAGAAATGTCTATGAAAATTCATGTTTGACATATTCATTGACGAGATTGTTATCCAAGACAGGTAGCTATGGACTAAAATTGTTAATATAAAAAGGAATCTCATTCTTATAGGAGCTAGAAGATAATTGAAGAGTGCTGACATTACCAACTGTTTTGAATTGCTGCATCGAACATAATTCGTGATCTTACGAGTATTTCAATTTATCTTGCTATTGTCTTATTATTGAAAATGTACAGATTTTTTATGTAGCTATTTCAAAAATAACAAAAACATGAGTGTTTTATTCTAAGAATCGCAATTTTATTTTCAACGATACAAAGATCTATGTACCTACAATAGCATATAACGAACTTTTTTCTGGTCATGTTAATTCCTATAAGGCAACCTTGAACAGCAATTACTGGTCGATGACATAGAGGCTGCGTTCGTTTTGACGATTTTAGCGCTGAAAGCATCGCTCTATCTTCGTTTGATATTCGATGTGGAACAAAAAAAAGACAGAATGATGCTCACAGCGCGTAAGCGATGCAGCCAGAATCAAGTCATATATATAGGAGGAATGAGCGAAAACATTACGGTGCAGACGATACCTTCTCTCTCGCATAGTTAGTCTGTAGCACTTTTGCGCATGCGTCAAATATATATATATATATATATATATATATGCGAGAGAGAAGGTATCGTCTGCACCGTAATGTTTTCGCTCATTTCCTCCTACTGAACTGGCAATATAGGAGTACTATATATATATGGATCAAGTGGATCGACTAGCTGAGCTGCTTGATTCATTCTTTTTATCTCCATGTTATCAGAACGACCAAGTGGTGACAGAAAAGACGGGTTTAGAAAAATCTAGAAGGTTTCAGCTGTGCCTGTCATTATTCCTCGGCTTATTCGTGCTCATATTCAGTATTACTCAGGCTTCAAAAGCCACAGTGGCTCTCTTAAATATTTGACAATTGCACATTTCACTGCCTTTCACGTTCGACATGGAACAAAGAGATCGCGATCAGATAAACTACTGTTGCGACAAAGTTGTATCTAAGATTGATATGACAAGACTCTTGCCAATATTGGTGCAAAACAAGGTCTACAACAACGATGACACAAACATGTCTCGCTGGATGGTGAGTTTTATTTATTCTATTGTTAACTACATCGTCTGACATACAGCAAGTTTACAGTCATCATTTCTTTTCAAAGAGATGAGTGATAGACACGACAATTTTTTTTACCAACTATCGACTGCTTTTTCTGATATGTTCTCTAAACAAGCAAGCTTTTGCTAGCAATTGCTAAAAAAAAATAATGTATTAATTATACTATTGATTGTTGCACATTTTTTCGTTATTTTTTTCTTTTAATTTTTACAAGATTTATGTAAGAATAATACATATATCTTTTAATAAAATAATAATTTGGAAGATAGATTTTTGAACCTTCGAATTTAGCTAATTTACATTAAAATATAAATTTATTTAAAAAATGTTGGTTGTGATATAATATGAAAGCCTATTTTTTATTTTTTTTAAATTAAATTGAAAATTGGCATAAAAGTTTAGAGAATTGGCTCTTATGCCAATTTGTAATTTAATTTTTATTTTATTTGAGCCAAATTCCTAACTATCAATTATTTTTTAAATAATTCTAAGCATAATTTTTACTTTTTAAAATAAATAATGTAAATCTTTAGTTTTACCAAAAAGATCAAGTGATTTTTTTTATCAAAATCGAAATTACAAATAAATTCAATATTTTTTTCTTTATTCTCTCTCTATATAAGATAAGCAGTTCTAAGAAAAAAATTATTAGAGATTCTCTCTTAGATAATTTTTTTTTAGAACTGCTTATCTTGTAGAGAACAAAGAAAAAATATTTAATTCTTTATACGCAGTAAATACATGAGTCATATTCATCATTTTCATTTCACATTTTTTTCTTTAAGTAATAAAATAGAGAAGCAAGCTAAAGATAAAAGAAAAGAAAATAATTTTAAGATATTTTGATATGATATGATTTATCCTTTATGCAAATCGGATTAACTGAGAATTTTATTATTTATAGTTTATGATATTTTATATCATATATATCTCAGGATGTCTATTCTCTGGAATATCTGGAATTCTCAGATATTTCTTTTGTACCTAAAAAAAATGAGGAAATTTTCAAATGGAATTTTATTGGAACTTAGTAAATTAAAAAAAGAATTTTCTGATAATTTTGCTTTTATATTGTAAATAGTTAGCAAACCAAGCGAATTATGCATTTAGAATATACTATAAATATGTATTTATTTCTATTTTTATACATTCAATGTTTTAACAAAATATTGAATACACATTACATATTCTTTATTATAGTTTTTAAAAGAATGAAAATGTTATACAAGTGAAACATATTTTATCTTACAAAAGTTATTCATTTTTTTTCAATATATTTACAAATGTAACACTTGAAATTTAAGCAATTGTTTTTTCTTAATATAAATCAAAAACATTAGAAAAATGCAATAAAAAAATTAACTTTAAAAAGTTACACCAAGAAATCTTTGAAATATTCTTATCTGGTATTTTGAACAAGCATACCTGGAAAATCAAAGAATTTTAAAGAAATTTTTTTATAAAATTTGAATGTGTATGTATGTGTGTAGACACTCTGTGTATGTATATTCAATTATCTTTTTCAAGTCAATATTTTTTCAATCAGTTTGGATAGATACTACGAGGACTATGCGGAAACCAATTTCCAAAATGTAGATTTGTAAACTAAAAACAGGGAAAGACAAACATTTTATTATGTACAAATATTATTTACATATTTTTCGACATAATCATCATTCGAATTGAGACACAAGCTCTTGTATGCCTTTATTAATGTACATACATACAAGAGCTTGTGCCTCAATTCGAATAGCGATTATGCCAAAAAATAATGTATATATGTAGATAAAAAAATAATGTACATACGTAGATAACTTTTGTTTTTTCTATTTCTTGTTTTGTAATTCTTTCGTTCTACTGGACATAATTTTATCTCCTATTAAAGATTGATTTCCGAATATATATAATTCTCGTATAATTAAACTGAAAGCTCGTAATAGTATTTCCGAATATATATAATTCTCATATAATTAAACTGGAAGCTCGTAATAGTATGTATCTAAATAGTGCAAAATACCATATCCATGCTAAAGTTCGTAAATAGCTTGAGGAGTAGGGGGGGGGGGAGTAATAATACAACTGCATAGCAATGTGTACCTTTATGAATGCAATGTCCTCTTTTGACAATACTTGAGGAATGTCGTACGAAATTCGTGTGGACGCTACGGTCCTGAATGTCATGAAAGTAATCATAGGAGGAATAGTCTCGTTATAGTGATTACATTTAGAGTTCCGAATCGTGCACTATTAAGAGGATTCTATTAGTAAAATGTCATAATTGTATTTTATACATAAGTGTGTTCCATAAATTTAGTTCAAGGATTGTACATATTAAACAAGTAAAAATGTTATGTGAATGTATGTCGCACATATAATTTTTTAATTATGAATAATAAAAAAAATACCTGAAATGAATGAAGCTTGAATTTCAATATATGAGCACATTTTTTATTTTTGATCCAAATGAATGTTGATATGTACAAAGCGAACAATAAGTCTCTTTATTATATATATAATGAAGAAATTTATCATTTGCTTTGTAGATACCTGACCTATTATTTATATATATATATATATATATATATATATATATATATATATATATACATATATAGATTAAAATCTGTTTCAATTTAATTAAATCAAATAATATTGATTCAATCTCTGAATTGAATTAATTAGAATTAATTTAGTGGCAGCCTTCAATTAAAATAATAAATACAGACTATATATGTTAATAATATTTTTTTACTTGTTTTTTAATAAGTGCATTTTTGAAAATATTTATTATTATTGTGCATTTAGCAATCTGTATAATTCCTGTTTCATAAATGTGCTTCAAATATAATGCTGGAAAAAGATAATTGACAACAACAAAAGTATTCTAACGCTTATCATTATTTTCACAATATAAATTGTTAAGCATAGAATTGTTAAACATATTATTTCTTTGTAATAAATATAAGTAAATATGAATACACATATATACATATCTATACACACATATCAATAATTATAGATTCATGCGATAATAAATTGTCAATATCGCTATAAAATAAATTGTAAATATTGTGCGAAAATTCGCAAAGTGTAAATAATTAAGAAACAAATGCAAATTAATTGATATTATAGAAATTATATATCATTATGTCTGATTGCAGAAGAATACTATGGACCCAGATACAATCAAAGTTATATTTTTAACGATAAAAACACGAGGACCACATGCATTTAAAAATTTAATTCTTAGTTTAAGACAGACTGACCATGAAAATGTAGCTGATATATTAGAAGGAAAAATTAGCATAAATAATACGAATAATACAAGTAACACAAGGTATATTTTAATTTTCGTCATTAATGTTCATCATTAATTTTCTCTGAATGTTACACATTTTTTGCATGATGTATAATAAAAACGCGATGTTAAAAATTGTTTAAGTATTTATATTAAAAAGATTTAAATTTTAAATTACTGTGTCTCGGTTCTTACTTGTAAATTTTATTATTTAATGATTGTTAATGCAAATTTTACTATTTAATGATTGTTACTTAAATTTTAGTCTTTTTCTTTAATTTTTTCAATTTTGAATATTAATGTAAGCTATTTTGCTGAAAAATAATAACGAATTTGATTTTGATATTAATACTGAGAATGTAGCATAATCATAATTATTGTAAACATGGACATTTCTAATGATTTTAAATGAACATAAATAATATATCATTTTTATAAACAAATGCTAATTTGAAGTAAGCTTTTAAATATATATATATATATATATATATATATATATATATATATTCAATTTTAAGTATATTCATAAATATATCTTATTATATAAATTATATAAATATATTTAGATACATATCTATCCTTAGATACATATCATTCTTTTTAATTTAAAACAATCTGTTATGAGATTAATATTTCATTAATTATTATAACTAGTATATTCAAGGGAAAAAATAATAGTACAAGATATTTTGTTACAATGTATTATTAAATAATTAAGTATATAGATAAAATAACTTTTGTGTCATCAGTATTTAATGATTATACAAAAATGTGTAATAAGGTTGTGTAATTTAAATTTTTGAAAATTATTTTCGAATTTTTTAAAAATCTCATTATATTTATAATATTTCAGTTTTAATCAAGAAGACAATTCATTTATTAACCATTCGTCTGATAAGCCTCTAACAATAAAGCTTTGTAAAGCAACACGATTTTTAGATCGTGAATATCATGATCTCATTGAACGCTATCCCATGCGGAGTAAACCTCGTGGTTTGGTTTTGATAATTTCAAATATTGATTACAAACTGGAAGATAAACCAAGATTTTCGGCAACACATGATGCAGTTAATTTACAAAAGCTTTTTGAAGAAATGGGCTTTAAAGTTATTGTACATCAAAATTTAAACGGATCGGTATGTACAAACTCATACACTATACTACCTACATTAGGAAAAAAAATTATATATATATATATATATATATATATATATATATAAATTACTTTAAATAATTTTGTTTATATTAGTATGACAAAATTAAAGGTAGATTTTTACTAAATAAAATATATTTAAAAGATAATCATAAAAAATACATATCATTTATATTTTATGTACTCGTATATTCTATATATTTTATACACACGCACGTGTGTAAAATATATAAAATATATATAAAATATAAATAATATGTGTGTATGTATGTGTATATATATTTTTTTTATATTTCCTTCTCCTTTTTTATTAGCAAATAAATGAGGTAATAAAAACATTTTCAAAACATGATGATTTGGGAAAAGTCGACTCGTGTTTTGTAATAGTTACAAGTCATGGTACTGAAGATAAAAATTCTAAGGATAAAGAAAATAACACAGAAATTCAAGGATTGGATTTTTCTACTGTAAGCAAGCAAGAAAATTATGAAAAAGTTCTGTGTGAAGGTATTTATGATTATTTCACTGCAGAAGCCTGTCCACAACTTGCAGGAAAACCAAAGATATTTATTTTCCAACTTTGCAGGTATGTAGTATTATTAAAATTATAATTTCTTGCAGTCTTATATCAATGCATTTATGAATAGAAATGGGATATGTATCATTTCATAGAGTTGTATTAAGGTAATAAAAATTTGATAACTTCTAAATCTTTGTCAAAAATATTAAGAAAATAAAGTCTTTCATTCTTTTATAATTACTCTTATCTTTAAAACTGTTCAAATAAATAAACATTAATATGACATCGTAAGTGTATATTAGAGATGTGTAAACACATTTTTAAATTGAAAAGTTAAACTTTGTAAAAATTTTTTTATGGCTTAATGAAAATTTTTGAAATTCTGTTGTTGCAATAAATGGCAATATTTGTGTACTTCGATGAAATTTTATGTAGATTTTATTTTTTTATCTGCAAATGTACCAAAATCTCTATATAAAAAACAGTATCTTTTTTCTTCTATATTTCGTTATTTATTCTATTTTTTTCTCCATGTTTTTTTAGAGGAAAAAGAAAACAAAACGCTGTATTTCACTCTAGGACTGTCACAGATAGTATCATTTCTAATCCGAATAATGAATACAATATCACACATGAATATAATACATCTAACTTATCAACAAGGAATTATTCAGATATGCTCATAGTTTATTCTACTTTGCCTGGATATGTATCATATCGAGATAAAATAACTGGTAGTTGGTTCATACATTACCTTTGTAGTATATTCATGAATTATGCTTACAAGACTCATATTTACGATTTATTTACCATGGTAAATATTATGAAATACTAATAAAATATAAAATAATAGTTTCTGTAAGAAATTCTGTAAAAATTTGCAATTAATGCAATTTACAGGTTGATGCACATTTGAAAAGGATCAGAACGGGATGTAACGAGTGTCAGACATCATCTATACTATCATGGGGATTTAATAAACATTGTTATCTCAATCCTGGCCATTTTGAATCATGACAATGAAGAAAAAAAGAGAGTGACTTTATTACGCAAGCAATAATATATGAATTACATATTTTCATATTTTGATTGCCAATATTTTAACATATTTAATTTTCGGTGCAAGTACAGAACATTTTTATATTGTAAATAATTATCAAATTTTATATAAACTTTTTATGATCTTTTTATGGAAAAAGTAAATCGTCTCTAATTCTCTTTTTTAATTCTTTTATATATATTTGTTATTATATTGTATACTAGATTATGTTAAAATAACGTAATTTAAATCGACCACACTGGCAATTTATTGATTGGTAAAGAATCACAACGTTTCGACCATGGGTTTTGGTCCTTATCAAGTGAAAATATCAGTTAACCAATATATAGTGAGAAAAGAAGAAATCACATGTCAAGATCGTTATGTCACATTCAATTTTTCTCTTTGTGTCTGAGGTTGACATGACGATCTTGATATGTGATTTCTTCTTTTCTCACTATATATTGGTTAACTAAGATATTTTCACTTGATAAGGACCAAAACCCATGGTCGAAACGTTGTGATTCTTTACCAACCAATAAATTGCCAGTGTGGTCAACTTAAATTACGTTATTTTATCTACTGGCAATATTCAAGAATTAGATTATGTTGTTAAGAATATATATTTTTCTCTTTACTTATGTGTTTTTTTTTATTCTATATTGATTTTATTGTATTTATCCTATTCACTGTTATTAATAATTTTCTATATCATATGTAGTATCGTATGTTTCTCTATATTACATTCTCTTCAAGATTAGCTTCATTTTTTAAACTTAAACCTCTTCCTTTCTCCTTTAGGTCCTAAACTGTTAACTTAATTAAAATTTTTTATACTATGTTGTACATGTATATACAATCTTCTAAAATTAAATAAGGATCAAAAGAATTAAAAAACAATATTGAAAAAATAAAATAAGAATTACTTAAACATAATTTCTTTTAAATTTTGACTACAATATATAGATAAGACTGATGAAAGGAGAAAAGAGAAGAGGTTTAAATTTAAAAAATGAAGTTAATCCTGAAGAGAAAGTAATATGGAGAAACAAATTACTACATTATCTTTTTCTTTATAAGCTGATTTCAATAAAATCAATTAAATTACGAGTACTGAATTTACCTCAATTTAATGTGTTTAGCGTACTGTCTATCAATACATCTATTTTTGCTCTTTCTACACACATGTATGTATACATACGTACATACATACATATATACATATGTATATATATAACATTTTTTGTATAAAATGCTTGACAAAAAAAAAAAAGAATTTGTATCTCAAGTTTAAAGGGATTTATTTCGAGCATCAATTAATACTATATTCTGTATAATCTCGTATTTATCTTATATTTAAGATTTATCGCGTGATAATCCATTAACATTTACAGAAAAAAAGAATACTATATTTAATTCATATTATTTAAAATAGCTCGTGATTTGTGTAATTTCAATCTTCTTATAAATATAAATTACAAAAAATGATTCACTTAACTATGCTATATTTAATCTTACTATTTGTTTGTTGTTTTCATAAGTATACCTCGATTATATAATTGGCAAAACTACATGCAAGCTTGCTACATCATATAATTTTGTGACGAAAATTATGCGCAGATATTATGCTCAATATATAAATATAATAAATATATATATATATATATATATATGTATGTATGTATGTGTGTGTGTGTGTGTGTGTGTGTGTGTGTGTGTGTGTGTGTGTGTGTGTGTGTGTGTGTGTGTGTGTGTGTATGTATGTATATATGCTCAATATGAAATTTTAAATAATCCTAACTTAAGAAGAATTTAAAATTTAAAGAAAATAAAGTACGATTTGAAAGATTTGAAAAAAATCACTGAAAAAAATATTGATTTTAAATCTTAAGATTTGAGATGTTTCTTTTATGTTATTAATGAACGAAAATAAGTCAGTTATATATAAACTTAACATATAAATATAAGTTAAGTATACTTTATATATAATACAATTTCGAAGAGTGTAGCTATATTGATTTTATTTATATAGTGCCATAATCGATAAAACGAATGATGGACTAATGTCAAGGCAGTGAATTATGTCGATGAAGATGAGTTTTATTTTATATTATTATATTTTGCGAATTTTTATATTCATATTGAATTATTCCGTACGTAGGTACAGCGCGTAGTACGAACATGCTTAGTACAGGGACTGCGCGTTGGAGGAACGTGGCCGTTTGATCTTTTCAAGGTTCTTGATCACAAGATCGTGTAATGAACAATAGCGATTGCGAACCTCGCACATAACGAGCCATAAACTCACATATTCTTTTTCATCTAGTTCTTGAATCGCTCTTCTATAATCAATAATATGTGGATATTTCGCGACTTTACTAATGATCTTTCCTCTAGAGATGAAGTACCTGTAGAAATAAGAAATAAAATATAATTATTTTTTCTTGATAGGTTAAAGTAATTAGAAATCACTTAGAATAGAATAAACATTTATTTTTTTCTTTTACCTAGAAATTTGATCGAAGAATGCAGCTGCTTCACTCTCAACTGATTGAATCTCAGATAATGTATCTTCTTGTATTGATACACCAAAGTTATTTCCATCCTCGATTTTTGGAATCAGGAAAGAAATCCACATTTTTAGCTAGAAAATTAAGGAGAATGTCAATAACAATTTGAAAAATTGAAAAACATTTAGCAATATAATACAAGAAGAATGCTTAACAGATTATGATAAAAAAATATTCATTTTTTTTAAATACAATAAAGACAACATATAATATGAATAATATATAATAGATTAGTACAAAATGTCTACACTAGAAACTCAAATTAGAATAAAGATAATTTTCAAAATAGTCCTAATTTTGTTTAAAATTAAAACTGTGAAAATATTTTCTCTTTTGCAGAAATTAAACATTTAAAAAGAAAGAAAAAAAATGAAAAAGAGAAAAAGTCCTATGAATTATATTAAACTATTTAAGAAAATAATAAAGATTTTAGCACACATACATTTAATACTTACTAAATTAGAGTCCTCCAAAAGTTGTCTAATGTATGGTTTAACTATCAAAATCAGATCACATAGTTTTTTGTTGCAAGGTACTGGACCATTTGGTAGTACCATAACTTTGGTTCCGCTGGTTTCTTCTGCATTATTGTCCAACTTAAGCTTTTTTGAAGCAGGAGCATCTTCGGAATGATTAAGAACTATAGGGTCTGGAATGGGTACATTTAAATCTTGGTGTACATCTGACAATTTTCGATTACTGAATCCAGGCGTCTCCAGCAATTCATTTAATTTAACTATTTTTTCGGGAAATCCTTTTATCAATAATTCCTCCGCCTAAATAACGCACATATAAATAATAAGTATACATTGATAATTTGTTAATCTGTAATTTTGATAAAGATATTATTAAATGTTTGTGTAAGGATGGGGAATAAAGAATTGTAAAAGTTATAAATATCTAAAAGAGAAAGAGATAGTACAAATTACCTTAGTCTTGAGTGAATCCTTGTATTCTTGAACCTGTAAGATAAACTCAAAAAATATATCACTTTGATAAGATGATTGTATATAAGTAAGAAATAATTTGAAGTAATGACAGAGCAACATATTTATTAGTGTAATATTTCTTAAAGTAATAATTTTATGATTCTTGTAAAGCCTTAATGATTTCTTTAATCACATATAGATATTTTATTATTGAAACAGAATATCTTTGCTAAAAAATATTTTGTTATCTCAATATAATTTATATACAATACTATAATAATAAACAATTTTATTACTTTAAAAATAACATATTTGTAAAATTTGAAGAAATACAAAGATTGGAGAAAATGTTACAAATATCATTAATTTTAAATGTATCTAACATAATCAGGATAGTATGATCTCTCTGATAACGAGTTAAAGATATTGACATCATAAATAAATAAAATATCAATAGTGAAAGTAAATAAGTAATATGAAGATGTATTAATATCTTTAGAGCATCAGTGATAGTATTATAATATGTAAATCATTCATTATATCCATAGCTACCTCATTTTCTGTATAACTATCCAATAATACATTACTTGGCTCATCACTTGAATTACTAGCAAATGTAGAAAACATTTATACAAAAAAAAAAACTGACGAGAAATAATAAATTATATGCACAGAAGTTATTTTAAATAACTTTAGAAATTTGTAAGCAAGAATTTAGAATTTTGTAAAGTGTAACTTGTACTTTTATGACAGCATACAATTTTAACAGGTTATAACAGATTACACTCAATTGTTTAGATTGCATCATATTTGGAAAAAAGTTTAAAAATGTATATGATATTGATAATTTGTATGGTACTGTATTATTTAAATGAGAAAAAAGTAAAAAAAATATTTGTTCTTTTACACAATATATATATCAGATTGATACATTTATTAACAATAATAAATAATTTTATCTCTATATTATTTCAGAAAAAGATGTAACTAGGCATATGCTTTTACTAAAGTATTTAATAACAAAATTAAATAATTGCAAAATATATAACTTAAAATAAATAGTTTCATATTGCTGTAATTACAATGACATATTGCACGACATTTGTAATTTTATAAAAAGCTGTTAAAAGATCATTATATAAATCGCAGCTATTTCAATATCTTTGCATTTTCCAAAAAATTATACAGGTGAGGTAAACTGTTATTGTTAATAATTGTTAGAAAATCGAAGAGTCAAGCTTCATTGCTATTAAATGCATTATTTTTATGAAATGCCACAATTTTACAAATTACTGTCGTATCATACTGATGCCTGATGCTATGTACAAAAAATATTATCTACAGCGACAATGTATGCAAAAATTTAAGAAAAGATTATTAATGTAATAACAATATAATTAATACAATAAATTAATATAATTAACATAAAAACCAATCGAGACCAAAATAATATTAATATTATCCCTCCTTGTGTAACGTTTGAGAAGATTTTAAAACAGGTAAATTCATTAAAAAAGCAATCTTCATTACAAATTATCTTTACGTCCTACGTTATCTGTCAAATGACTATCAATATGTTATCGAGACAAGACTATCGGGATATGGACAAGATTTTACTTCGAATAAAAGAGATGCCGAGCAATGTTTTCGAAAGAGGTTAAAGCCGTATCCTCCGGAGAGACGAATTTTTTCTCACGACACCCGATATTTCCGCGGTATTTACATAAGTCCACGCGACGAGGAAGAGGAAGGAGTCCCGTGGCATCGTCGAGATCAACGCATAAAACCGGGACATCACGATGGACGAGGAGACGCAGCAACACAAACATGACCGCTCGTACAGCGGATGGTTAACCTAACCAACGATTGCCGAGGTCGCTCGTTTCTCGAAGCCGCTCGTTCCTCGAGGTCGTCCTGGACGACGGGAGGCAGCGCGAGAAGCGAACCGGAGAAGTGCTTTACCTTTTCCACTGTAGCATCCTCCATTATACAAGTTCCGTAAGAAAAAATCGTCTTCTCTAAATCGTAGCCACTGTGTATGCGTGTCCCTTTGTTGAAAAACGTGCAACTCAAACAGGAAGTTCGCGCTACCACCGTGTACTACCGCTGTTGTCAAGCGAGGATCTCGACGAAGGCATTTGGCGAAGGCCGTTCGCGTTTTTTGCCCTCGACGTCTCCTGCATTTAAGGTCGCACGGAAGACGTATTTACGTTTTCCCCGGAGAGAGAGAGAGAGAGATAAGAGTAGATAAAGCGTAATTGACAGACGGACACCTGGCCTGGCATCGAGTCAATTTCGAGCGCACGCAGGTGCATGCGCATGACGCGACCCGCGATTGATCTTTCAAACGTGAATCATACGGGGAATATATATCGATTAAAAAGTAATGATTCAGCAATCCTGATAAAATAGTAATTCTGTTATGTAAAATTAGTATCCTGTACATATTTGATAATAAAATTAAAGAAAAAAAATTCTCGATGACAGATTATACATGTATTTAATAATGTCGAATTTTAATTCAACCTCTCATGACCTTTATGAAATCGCTTCCATTCATTGTTCTTTCTTGTTTTTTTTCCAATTATATATACATGTATGTTTATATTTGAGAAATACAATAAATTTTGTGTACGGTTGTATTGTAAAATTTGCTTGTTTTACATTTGCATTTCTTATATATTCAAGTTTTCTCCTTCCCATCTCAAATACTGAAATTTTAAGAGGCAAGCAAAATTAACAAATAATTTTTATATAATAAGTAATTAATTTTTGAACAATTTTCTTCTTTTGTATAAAACATGTTGATTATAATTGTCATTGAGGATATCAGAAAATTACTTTCCTTTATTTATGCTGAGACAACTCTATTTCACTTCAGATAAGTGTTTAATGATTCAAATCAATAGACAAATAGACAATAACAATAGAGTTAAAGATTTGAGAAATCAAATGCTAGAAATTTTACAAATACTAATATTTATATTTCAAATAGAAGGTAATATATAGAATTTTAAAATGATTAAAAGATTCGAATATATTCACATACTTAAATGATGCTTGAAATTTCTCCAACATTTTAGAAAACAACGGTTTGATGATCTTAAGTAAATTATGTTCAATTTCAAATATTTGAAAATTTACATACACGCCGTTTTATCCTAAATTACAATACAAAATCTTAAATTAGATCATTTTAAAGTATTTAGGATATCTTTATTTTTACACTTTTTCACTACTCTTTTATCGACTTTTCTTATGAAATATGTTAATCACTCATGTCAAGGGCAAGTGAATAAATGTAAGGAATAACTTTTTTACTTTTTTATATTTTTATAGTTTTTCAATATTGTATGACATTTTTCTCCACTCTTTTGTTTTGAAGAATATTTACGAAAAATAATTCCAAAAAAACACGAGATTAAAGAGTATGTTGATTAGATTTCAAGCAAATTAATTTTATATGTTAAATAACTTCATATTTATCATTTTTTAAATTAAATTCCTACTATTAATAAAAGCCATTCTCTATATAAACGTATTGTAAATGAGCTTTTTGTCATGACACTTATGTGTCATCCACATTAATTACGAGAAAAATACAGTTAATCGATAGTATTTAATGAGAATAACTAATTAATAATGGTTATAATAATTGTGATAAATTTTTTCTTGTATAAATACATATTAAATAAGGCTAGGTGAGTTTCTTGGCTTTCTGGTAAAGTGTATCAACGACTTTTCCCATGCTGTGTATTGTGTCTAATGCGATTTCGTAAGTTTTATCGCGAGGTGTATCCTCGAATACAATTAAAACACCTTCTCCTTGATCGAGAACTCCTCGCAGTTTCTTGTCCAGAATCATTTGCGATAGTTTCTTTTCTACTTGTGCCAATGGCAGAGATATGCACGAGGCAATATGACTCACCTGTGAAAAAATATTAATATATAAAAAAAGAAATTAATTAATTATATAGGCTTTATTGCTAATATAATAAATTAATTCATCAAATAATGTACAGTTGAAAAGAAATATAAGACTTTTGAAATTTTTACAAAATATTTCTACATATGTTAGAAAACATTATGTATATCCATATAAATACCTGAACTCGTGAATAAGGTTCGACTAAACGACATAAATTTTGCTCCAGCATAGCATCATAGAGAGAACCAAGGTGTGCACGTACAATTACGTCGTCTTCTAATTCCTGCCGGTATTGCTTAACTGCCTTCTGAAAATCTGCTAATGATCGTCGGTGGCTAGCTTCAGCTACCGCACGCATTGCGTCTAGATCTAATCCTGCGTATTTTACCGCCAATTTGCCAGACATAATAGCTTGAACGTCCTCTGGTGTGCGCAACATGATTTTAGACAGTAGCATGTATTTGAGCGCAGTCAACGCCTTGGGACTTTCAACACTGTCATATCTAAATATAGAAAATGGAGAAAATGTACCGTTACAAAATATAAGAATCGAAAACATTTGCAGTAATATAAAGATATTGATTATGGTTACCCTTCAAAGGCTTCATAAAAATAAGAATAAGCAGTCTTGAAGTCTCGTTCATCCGCAGCATGCAATATTCCTGATTGTAGATCTAGAGCTGCTTGCATTTTAGGTGGACAATAAATCGCGTTGGCAGTCGTCCTGGCACTGGTAAGCGCTGCTCTTGCTTTCGCTAAATTGCTCAGTGCATGATATGTCTTACTCTCTAACAATTGAACCTCTACTAGCAGTTGTTTGTCATCCAGTTTTTTGAGTTCCTTGAGGAGAGCAGACCCTAATTGCAACGCTTCACTGAACATGCCCGTGTCGAAGTAAAGAGCTATTAAGCGGGCTTCTAACGATTGCCTTAAAAACGTTCTGCGTTCTTCCTTTGCCCATTCTATGCATTCTTTACACAATTGCACCTAAATATATAATGCATGTAAATACATTTTACACTTTTTTTGTACAAATATTAATATAATTTATATAATTAAAAGTAAAAAAACTTGAATTTAGAGAATTCAAGCTTAGATATACAAATATATATCAGGATGTTTCAAAGTTAAACAATCAAATTTTGTCAGTATGTTCTGAGTGGAAAAAAATATTACATATAAACATAGATCTGGAAACTTTATTAAAATGTTATAATAAAGTATCAAATATGAATAGCAGGTTCATTAATATAAGAATAGACCGAAGAGGTTTATCTAAGGAAGATCAATTGTTTGGCCCTCAAGATTACTAGATCTTGGACTTGTATCTGTAAAGAAATGTACAAACAATACTGTATCAGAGTTAATTTGTAACAAGAAATAAATCTATTTTAGAAGATTAATGATTGAAAATGATCAATGATGAAAAATATTTATTGAACTAAAGCAAAATAAATTCATAGTGTTAAATTTAATATCCCAATGTCAACCTGTTTTTTTTTCTCAATGTAATGTAATAATAAAACATTTCTGGACTTATGTTTACATAACATTTTTTTCTTATTTCTACTGGTAGAATATTTGTGAAGTTTAATTTTGAAGCATCCTGTATATATATAGTTGTAATCCTCAATAAGCGTGCAATTATCTTGCCTCATGCTATTATTGAAAAACTGAAAATATTTATTCAAATCTAATAATATTTGGACAAGCATGATTTAACATTTTTTACCAGCTGGTGAAAAAAAATGCATAATCTAATCCATTCTTCGGCTTGTCCAACTCAATATCTCTTGTTATAGAAGAACAAATCGTCCCATTACCTCAATACCTATACCAGCCTCCAGATCCAGGAAGAAGTCCACCAAGGATCGCACAAGCTTGGCAGCCTTTGCTTTGCTAATAAGACTAAGGAACGGTCTGGTGGCTTTGATCAGGTCGGCCAGCTCCTTCGCCTTACCCTCCTTTTTATACAGCTCGCCCAGATGCAGGATACCCTGCTCCTTGACGCGGATGTTGTCTTCGTCGTCATCGGCGACTCCGATGCTCGGATCCGAGACGATTTCGTTGAGCAAAGAGATACCCTCGCTGCGGTTCGTCATCGAAACGGCCTGAGCCCGCTCAAATAGCATCGCACCGGCCATCTCGGGGTGATTGGTGGTCGCACACCTTCCTCGTAGGAGCGCTAACCCTAACGTCAAGTCAACGTATGCGTGTTATCGTTTTCCCGATGTCGCTGGCGCGGGAGAAAAAATCAAGAGATAAGGAAAGTTGGTGTCGCGCGAAATGTCAAACAGCAAACGCCGCGTGTCCCGGATGGGAATCTATGTCTACAGTCTCGCGATCTCGCGCTCAAACAATCTCGTGCGAGTGCGTTCACTCACGCTTTCTTCTAGCCCTGTCACTCCTCACCACACTGCTCGTCGGACACCCGAGATCACAAAACTCGTGTCATGCTGCTACGTGAGTCAAGCGAGTCACTAGAGAACCGCGAGCCGTGCACCTCTCGTGAATGAGTCTGTTCTTTTCAGCTGCATTGCTGCACTAGTGTAATTAGTTAGAGTGAAAGAAAGGGAGCGTCCCGTTTGACCACAGCCAATTATATCGACCTGTGCCTAGGGTAACCAGCAACGATTAACCAATCAGAGAGTCCTATTTTGAATTGGCCAATTGGCGACGTGGTCAATCGGGTGCCACCCGAAAGAAAGCATGTTTGTCTCTTTCTAACTTATTGCACTAGTGCAGTAGTATAGCTGAAAAGAACAGACCCAATGTACGTGGGATAGTAGGTTGAAGGATTGAATCGAAGCTCGAGATTGAAGGAAAAATATGGTCTTCGTGTCTTTTTCTAACAAGAGAAAGCGGGAAACCATAATTTCTGAGCATCCAATCATATGCTCGATCATCATTCCGTGTAATCACGACCAAGAAAGAAAGAGATACAACCATTATTTTCTTTCCTTTTTTTCTACGTAACAATAAATTTCACTGTAAAACATCGGGAACAGCTTGTTCTCTTCTTATTCAATAATCATGGAATGATTTGTAATATCAAATAAAGTATATCCATAGTTAAATAAAATAGAAATTAATTAGGCTGTATAATTGTTTACTTTTTCCATCTATATAAGCTTAATAAAAAATATTCTAATATATAAAATATTATATCTTTCCATAGCAAATTCAATCTATTGATGCATTTGCAAATAATTTACAGTAGAAAAATACAAGGTAATATTTTATATAAACTATAAATGAAAAAATCTATTTTTCAGCATGCATTAATGAAAATGAAGCATTTTTCAAAATCGTCGCTTGTAAATTGCAAAGTGTTTCTTCCAATCTGAAATATATAAATAAACATAATCTTTTATATATGTATATATATATATATATATAATTTAAACATAATCTTATATATATGTATCTATATAATTTAAAATAAATCTAGAAAAAGTATAAAAACAATTGTTACAATTATACACTTACTTTTTCTGAAGATTTTCTATGTCATTATACGTTTCAACAAAATTCTTCAATCCATCATTTACAGCACAATATGTTTCGCCTTTCGAATTAATTAAATTCATGATGCTTTTTAAGGTATTCGAACATTTTGCTAATATTTCTTGAGTTCTTTCCCATTCATTTTGTGTTTTAGGAAGTATTATATCATTACATCGCAATACATCCATAGGTTGTAGAAGAGATTGTAGCTTGGATAACATATCTTCTACTATTTTAAATGTTTTATGTTCTGTAAAAGTATAAATGTAATAAATTGTACATGTAATATATATATTTTAATATATAATCCCCCATATGAATAAAGTTTAATATAATTTTGAACAATTTAAATCTTACTGGTACATTCTGTTACTGCAGCTAACTGCGCATCTATTTCTTTTTGTGCTATGCTTAAGTTTATTATGTCACGTTCCCTCGATTTGATTTTCATCAATTTTTTTGCGTCTTGATCAATTTCTTGTGCTATAGTTGCCAACTGTGTTATCATCAAGCGCTTTTTCTCTTCAGCCTTTTTCTTTATTATGAGATTCATCATCATAGCTTGTAAATATTCATCATAAAGAAGTCCAAGTTCTACCTCTTTACATTCAGTATCTGTCTTCCTTTGTTTACATTCAGTATCTAAGTTTTTTGATAAATGAGATGGCATAATTGATTGCCTACTGTTGACTGCAATCTTCTTTTTTAACATTTCTATGAGAAGTAATAATACATAATATTATAATACAGTAAAATAAAGAGCAGTCAAGAAAATTTAACAAAATTAAATGTTGATAAAAAACTCTTACTTTGTGTGATATCACCTGGCATCATGGTTGTTCTATGAGAAGTGACTTTATTTTTTGAAATATTAGATAATGTGGCATCTAGTACAGTCTTTCCTGTAATCTCTGATACATTTGGGTCGTTAATTCTATAAAAAAGCATACATTGTATACAAATTAAAATATAAACTTTAATATATTATATTTCACTTGACAAAAGCTTAAAGTAATATTTTTACCTTCGAATACGTCCGGATTTTGGAGTACCTTTTGGCTCTTTCTGCATTTTTCTCACTAAAGTTTTAATATTTATCAAATAATATGTATCAAAGTCGTTTAATCTGAAATTTTTATACTTAATCTCCTTCCTTCTTTTCCCTCCAATATCTTTAACATACATGTGTATGTCAATTCAAAGGTTACGTTCGAAAATCCACTCGTTGGAGTGCTTTCGGTTGACTAATCAAAACAAAGCAATATATATTACTTTATTCTGATTGGACAGTTCAACGACGAATAGGTTTTCGAACACAATCATGTAGTGCTAGAAATTGCAAGAAACTTTCTAAAAATTCTCTATTCGATGGCCAATCAAAATGTCTGATCGACTCGAATGACAAATGTAATAGATCTTTGTTAACTCTTTTTAACTCTTTTAAACTTGAATAATTTTAAACTCTTTTTGAATAATTTTTTTATTTTTAAGTGACGTTACAATAAAATTACCGTATCAAAAGTAATTTAAGTTGTATACTATATTATGATAAAGTATACATGTTAGAATAAAGTAATGGACATTTAAAAAATAATAACGATAATTGTAAATATATTTGCTTAGATAAAGACAACCCTCAGATAGTATATGTCATTTCACAGACAATCTCTAAACATATACATAATGATTTTAGACCTCTTATGAAATCAATACATGCTTGGGACAACGTATTCATCATAAAATTTTTTTCGATAGCTCGCGACATATAAAAAATTTAACAGATCGATAATTGTAATATGCATAAGTGCAGCAATTCCGTATTCCGTATTCCGTATTCGATCGACAGTAATAGTATGGTTTGCAATCGTGATGATATTCGCTATGACTAAAAATGTTTGGACGATTCTCTCACCACCCACTTCTGATAATCAATTATGTATTTAGTTTAAAAATTATGGAATTTCTGGTCAACCAAGATTATGGTTCAGCCTTATATACATATTGTTTTCGTGGTTGTTTTATTTTTTTCTTACGGTATACAACAATGTCCTCTTTTATGAGTCATTTTTCCAATATACATCATATTTTTCAAAGTTTGAATGATTTCATAGTATTATTATCAATTGCATTTAGAATATATTATGATAAGATAAGAGAATATTAACGCACACAAAATACTATCAATAAATTCTATCAATAAATATCTATCAATAAATAAACTCAATTAATTTTGAATAGTTTTATTGCATTAGTGTCTGAAATAAATTATTGAGATGTAAAATTTCTTATATTTATACGTAGGAAAAAAAATTATCATTAAACCATAAAATACATTACACACCAGGCAACATAAATTAACGAACTTCTTTGGTGATACGTTTAATAAAATTATTCCTTGAATATAAAATATTCACATATCTTAACATACAATTGTTATTAAAAGGCAGAAGAATAAAAGATTTTGTTTGGATTCTCTTTGGATAAGTGCTAATTATTTATTTGTGTTCAAAGAATTATGTTCTTTCTCATAAATTTAAAAACTGTTTGAGAAAACTTATCATTGTAGACATCACTAGTAGTATCACTGTAGATATAGCTAGAAAAATTAGAAACAACGATAAATTATCAGCAGTTACATACGAGAACAGTACGGCTCGTTTTAGCATAGTTCGCGATAATTATTAATAAATTACGTACATTTTCCATATGTGAAATATTATTTTAAATATAATACTATAATATCTATTTATTTTATCTTTATGTTTACTTACTGCTTTCACATCAACCTTATCATCGATTTAACTATGATAAGTGTTTTTGGATTAGTATTGTAGTATATATATTGTAGTATATTGTAGTATATATATATGTGTGTGTGTGTGTGTGTGTGTGTGTGTGTGTGTGTGTGTATGTGTGTGATAATAATTCATAAATTTTATATGCATGTATATACGCATGAAACATTTCTGTAATTGTTTTTAGAATTTATATAGAGGATTTGTTAATAAACGTCATTATTCATTAATTTCTTCCACATATGTATGTGCATATATATATATATATATATATATATATATATATATATAAAATACACTTATGATGGATTAAAGTGTTACGTATATTTTCTTACATTATAGTCCATATTATTTATAATTATATATTATTTAATAAATTGATTAAAATAGACATTGCCATTTATTATTTGATAATATTTTTCAATATATAGCATAATATTGCATAAGGAGAGAAGAAGTATATTAGGAACAATATTCATATGTCTGTTGTGAATATGTAATGAATATAATTACGTTTTTACATATTCTATTTAAAAAGAAGACACATCATTATCCGAATTGTTTAAATATATCGCATAGAAACAAATTAAATATATTGTGTATGAACAGATCGATTATGTTTCAATAATTGTAAGTACCCTAACTGAAATTATAATGATCATAATCATATGATGAAGCTAGCACAACCAATCCGCAAATGAAATGCAGTTCGAAATCGAAACAGTATACATGATGACTAAAAATATTCGAAAAATTTTAACACCGCTCTTGATAATCAGTTATGTGTCCGGTTTAAGTATTATCGAATTTCCTGTAGGTTGTCCAAGAGTATGGTTTAGTTTCTTGTATATGCTGTTATTTTGGTCAATTTATTTTCCTTTGTGTAAATCTATAATAATATCTTACTTTAATAATGAACATTATAATGTCGAATACCATATATGCATTGGATTAGACATGTTGACAACATTTTTGTCAATTGTGTTTGGAATATATTATGATAAGGTATGTATGATAAGGCATTGTTAATTAATTGCATATTAATACTGATTTTATTTAATTATTTATTTAATTATGTACGTGACTATTTTTGATATCTAACGTAGCTACGAAAGTTGTAAGTAACATTTGTCAATTTAGCAAAATAAATTGTCATAAATGTAATATTTCATGTATTATAATAATTTAATACAAATTATTAATAAAAATTTTTCCTCGATATACTTAATAATAATTTATTAATATAATAATAATTGCATATAAAGTATAAAAAAATATTTAAAATTAATTAACATCCTTCAATTCTTTTTTAAAAACTACATAATTATTAATTACATTAGATATGCTACATTGTTAATTATATAAGACTCGCCGATACATAAAATTATCAAATTAATTGTAAATATTAATTATTTGTCCTCTACATTGTCTCTTTGTGACAGAAATTTAGAAATTGTTTGAAAAAGCTCGATATTGTCGATAGTACATTGCGGAATATCGGAACAACAACAGATTATCACAAGTTGTACAAAAAAACAATAGGTCTCATCATAGGATGGCTCCTAATGATTATAATAATGACTTATGGAGCGGCATATTGGTTGAGAAATGAGTTTAATTATAGTATTTTAATATCTATATATGCCTTCTTTGTACGAAATTATTGTTCTTTTATTAACATGACCAATGACCTGATTATTGCAAGTATTTTTGGGTTGGTATATCTTTTTAAGTATACGAATATTATTCTAACATAATCAGGTGTAAATTTATAAAACTATATTATTATGCATAAAAAATATAAATTTTTTTTGAAAATTTTTAATATATTAATATTCAAAATATGATAATAAATTTATGTGTTTATTCCATATATTTGTTACCTTACTCTTATTAGTTTTTTTTACATTTCTAGATATATAGAATTAAAATATGACCAAGTTAACCAACATCTTTTGGATTTAACAAGAGATAACAAACATGAAACAGCACGAGCTTGGGAAAATTCCATGCTCCAACATAGATTTCCACAAACTTTAAGCAACGAATGGTTGATATGGATCGTAATGTAAGAAAGTTAATGTAAATTCTATTAATTCTTAGTTATTTTGAACAAAATTAAAATTTAATGTTATGCGTATCTATAGACATCTCCATTCGGAATTACGCAAAATAACTCGTGAGATAGACTTGATATTTGGAGTACAGATAACTTTCAAAATGGGATGTAATTTTTTGTGGTTAGCGCTCGATTTGCGTGAACTTTTCAACGCGATACTCATCAACAATTACATCAAAACTAATAAAATATTATTCATTGTTATGTCAATAATCTGGCTTTGTCATACTATTTTAAAAATGATCTTCATTAATTATTTATGCGAAATAGTCTGCACTAAGGTATTAATTCTGCATTAAAAATGTATTTATCTGGAATTTTCTTTTGAGAATTACCTTCGAGAATTATTAAATAATATCAAATTTTACATATGACTTTTCTGAATTTAAAGAATCATTTAAATTTTATTTTGCATATTTCAATTTAAGGCAAATGCGACAAGAAATTTAATAAACAAAATACCGTATTCTACTTATGATTTTGATGTTCGAGAAAATGTAAGTTTTAATATATTCAAGATTATTAAAATAAACTATAATTTATTTTCATATATAGTTTATGCCATAATAAAAATTAATAAATATTTTATATATACTTTGCGTAAAAATGAAAAATAGTAAATATATACATTAAACATACATTATTATGTTAATATAGATGTCACAGTTTCTATTGCAAATAACTCAAGCACCAGTCAGATTCCACGGAATTGGACTTTTCCAATATGGCTACAAATTTCTTTATGGGGTACGTTGTAAAATGTTTATTACGAGCGTAATTATTTATTACCAACAATTAAATATATAATAACTATTTAAGGAAATAATAATTATTAAAGGAGGAATTAATATTTTTCAGTTTACTTCATCAGTTACAACCATTGTAGTTTTATTAATACAGGCGTGCATAAATAAACAAACATTTCAAAGAAATAACAATTAATATATTGTAATAATACACTATTGTAAATAACTTCAAGAAACGTTGACAAGTAATATTTAGTAATATATAAAACACTTTGTTTTAAAAATTTTAAACAAAACTCTGTATTCTGGAGTTAAAAATGTATTTTAATAATTTTGCTGAAAGATACTGTGCGATAAAAGATGAAATACACACACACACACGTACACGCACGCGCCTGTGCATAAATGTATATTTTTCTCTAATTTTTTCATAATAAAATTATTTTTATATAAAGCCTCGAGTATAAATTCTCGTGGACAATAATTGATATGTAATATATGTAATACATTTATTTATATATGTATAATAATATTTATCACATATTGTACTAAATTAAAATGTTTGTTATATCTTTACAGAGATTATTGCAAGATATGTAAAAATTTAAAACTTCTTATTTCATTTGTATATCAGAAGGTTTTTGTGTATTTTATTCGTTATTTCAAAAAAACTTTGTTTTATAAAAATCTATTACCTATTTTATTTCATAAAAATTATTCTTTAAATAAAATCAATTTTATGTATAAAATAAATATTTAATAATAAACGCTACCAACTTAACAAAAAAAAAACAATTTACAATTATACTAATTAGACTAATTAGACTACTTCTTAAATATATATATATATATATATATATATATATATATATTATATAATAATCTGTCGTAATATATAATACATAATATCAATATAAAAAAAAATACCGATTTACGATCATTTATAATTATATGTATGTATGTGTATATATATATATATATATATATATATATATATATATACGAATAAAAATATCTAAAACATTATTACACATTAAAAGCAAATTGATTGTATTGGTTGTATTGGATGTACAAATTATATGTATGTATGTATATATATATACGAATAAAAATATCTAAAACATTATTACACATTAAAAACAAATTGGTTATTGATTAAAATACATATTGATTAAAATAGACACCATCATTTTTTATTTGGTAATATTTTTCAATATACATATATTATAGTATTGTATAAAAAGATAAAAAATAAAGAGATAAAAAGAAAAAGTATATTAAGAACAATATTTTTATTTCTGCTATGTAATGAATATAATTATGTTTTTACATATTCTATCAAAGAAGAAGACATATCATTATCTGTATTTTTAAATATATTGCATATAAAACAGATCGATTATATTTTAATAACTGTAAGTGCTCTAATTAAAATTATAAAGATCATAATCATATGATAAAGCTAGCACAACCAATTCGCAAATGAAATGCAGTTCGAAATCGGAACAGTATACATGATGACTAAAAGCGTTCGAACAGTTTTAATACCTCTCTTGATAATCAGTTATGTATCCGGTTTAAGTATTATTGAATTTCCTGTAGGTTATTCGAGAATATGGTTCAGTCTCTTGTATATGTTGTTATTTTGGTCAATTTATTTTTTCTTATTTAATTCTACAGTACTATATTACTTTAATAATAAACACCACACTATCATCTACCAAATAGGTACTGGTCTAGATATTTTAATGACATTATTGTCAATTGCATTCGGAGTGTATCATGATAAGGTATGTATGATAAAGAATCGTTAATTATTCGTGTATTAAAAATTATCCATTTTGATTGTGTATATATGACTAGTTTTAATATTTAAAGTAACTACAAAAGTTTTAAATAATACTTATCCATTTCGTAAAACAAATTGTCACAAAGATACACAATATTCTATGTATTATACTAATACTACAAATTATCAATAAAAATTTCTCTTCATCACATATTTAATAATTTATTGCAAATAAAATATAAGATAATGTATAAAATTAACATATACATTTTGTAATTCTTTTTTGAAATATTATAGCTATTTTAGCTACATTAATAAGTGATACTATCAGATGTATTGTATTAATTATACATAAAATTATGTAACTAATTATAAATATTAATTATTTGTCCACCGAATTATCTTTTTGTGACAGAAATTTAGAAATTGTTTGAAGAAACTCGATATTATCGATAGTACATTGCGGAATGTCGGAACAACGACAGATTATCATAAATTGTACAAAAAAACAACATATCTCATCATAGGATGGCTTCTCATGATTATAATAATGGCCTATGGACAGTCATATTGGATGAGAAACGAGTTTAATTATGATTTAACATCTATATACGTCATCTTTATTATTGTAAATTATTGTTCTTATATAAACATGATCAATGACTTAATCATTGCAAATATTTTTGGGTTGGTACATCTTTTTATGTTTTATATATTACTGCAACAATTCTGACATAATCATGTATAAATTCATAAAACTAGACTGTAATGCATAAAAATAAAAATTCCTTAAAATTTTTTAATATATTTACATTCAAAATGTGTGATAATAAATTTGCATGTGTTTGTTACCTTACTTATTAATTTTCTTTTACATTTCTAGGTATATAGGATTAAAGTTTGATCAAGTTAATCAACATCTTTTGCATTTAATAAAAGATAATAGACATGAAATAAAACGAGATTGGGAAAATTCCATACTTCAACATAGATTTTCACAAGCTTTAAGTAAGGAATGGTTAATATGGATCGTAATGTAAGAAACTTAATGTAAATTCTATCAACTGCAGTTATTTTAAGTAATAAAATTTAATACTGTGTTTGTCTATAGGCAACTTCATTTGGAATTACGTAAAATATCTCGTGACATAGACTCGATATTTGGAGCACAGATGACTTTCAAAATGGGATGTAATTTTTTTTGGCTAGCACTCGATTTGCGTGAAATTTTCAGTGTGATACTCATCAACAACTACATCAAAGTTAATAAAATACTATTTATTGTTATGGCACTAATCTGGCTTTGTCATAACATTTTGAAACTCTTCTACATTAATTATGTATGCGAAATAGTCTGCACTAAGGTATTAATTCTACATTTAAAATGTATTTATATCAATTTTCTTTCAACAATTATCTAATTATTAAATAATTAGATTATTAAATAATTAGATTAGTAAATAATTAGATAATTGTTGAAAGAAATTATTATAATTCAATAATTAAATAATATAATATTTTATATGATATTATTTTTTTGAATTAAAAGAATTATTCAAATTTTATTTTCACTTCAGGCAAATGTAACAAAAAATTTAATAAACAAAATATCTTATTCTACTTCTAATATAAAAGTTCGGGAAAATGTAAGTTTCAATGTTAACTTATTCAACGTTATTAAAATCAACTATGATTTAAATTTGAGGAAAAATAAAAATTTGTAAACATATACATTAAAAGTTTATTAAAAGTTTTTTATATTAATATAGATATCACAATTTCTATTGCAAATAACTCAAGCGCCAGTCAGATTTTATGGAATTGGACTTTTCCAGTATGGCTACAAATTTCTTTATGAGGTACGTTGTAAAATGTTTATTAGCAGCGTAATTACCACAAATAATTAAATACAATTAAATGCACAATAATTAGTTAAAAAGAGAAATTAATATTTTTTAGTTCACTTCATCAATTACGACTGTTGTAGTGTTATTAATACAGGCATGCATAAGTAAGCAAACATTTAAAAAAAATGATGATTAGTTAGATTATAATAATACAATGTTGTATAAATGATTTCAAGAAGCATTATACATAGACAGTAAGACTTAGAATGTAATATATAAAACATTTTCTTCTAAATATTTTTAAGAAATCTGAATATTATGTAGAACTCGAAAAATTTGTTTTAATGTTGCAAAAAGATATTGTGTGATAAAAGATAAATCACACATGTACATAAGCCATAGACACATACACATACAGACACACACACACACACACACACACACACACACACACACACACACACACACACATCTTTTTTTAGTATTTCTTAAAATTATTTTTATAAAAAATCTTAAAATTTTCCATATATTTGATAAAAAAATACAACTTTTCTCATACTATGAAAAAGTATCTTATATACAATTCCTAAATTCATTATCCTATCAGTAGTTTTTCCAATATTATTAAGATGTCGATGTATTTAATAATATTTTTAAGTACATGTAATAGTAATATATAATGGTCATATATAATGCAAATTCTTGCATTAAGAAATAAAAATGAGAAATTTTAATAAATGTCAATAAATAATCAACATTATTAATAAACATTATATTATTATGTAATGTACAATTACAAATAGTTAAATCAATAAATATTTAAAAAAATACTGTTTCCTTACTTTTACAGTTTATCACGTCTGTCATGATTGTCGTAGTTATGTTATAGTAATATACAGAATGATAAAAATATGTTAAATAAATTGTAAATAATATAATACATAAAAACAAAAATGGACATTGACCTAAAATAATTGATATATAATACAATTTTTTTTTAAATAGGTGATATTTATTATATATTGTATTAAATTGAAATATTTGTCATTTATTTAAGAAATATCGCAAATAAAAATCACAAATTGTTACTTTATTTTTATATCAGATATATCTTTACCTTGTTCCTTGTCACAAGAATTATTTTTTGCATAAAATTAATTTTATATATAAAGTCAATACTTAGAATAATCATATAAAATCAACAAAAAGAAAAGCACCGATTTACGATTATAAGTATATATGTGTATGTATATATACAACTTCTAAAATGTTATTATACTTTAAAAATAAATTGATTATTGAGTAAAATACATATTGATTAAAATAGACACTCACATTTTTTATTTGATAATATTTTTCAATATATATCATAGTATTGTATAAAGAGATAAAAAGAAAAAGTATATTAAAAACAATATTTTCTGTTATGAATACATAACGAATATAATTATGTTCTTACATATTCTATCTAAAAAGAAGACACATCATTATCTATATTGTTAAATATATCACATATAAAACAGATCG